TGGTGAAAATCCAAAACCACTGAAAACAAATGCTAGCAAAGATGTGGAGGAACAGGAACTTGTGTTCATTGCTGATGGGAATGCAAAAATGGCACAGTTGTTCCTGTTACTCTCCTGCAAGTCTCAGACCCCTTTGAGCCTGAGTATGGTTAGAGGAGGGGCTGTTTCCAGGCCTCAGACTGTGTACAGGAACAAGAAATGATTTTGGAGGACACAGCATTCTGGTTAACTCTTCAGGATTATCCAAGAGAAAAAATTAGGGTTCCTTCTGAGAACAAGACACCACTCCTAAGAAGGGATTTTTAGCCCTTGGAGAGACAGGTAAGAGATCAACATTTAGTCCAGATAGCACTTCCCTAGATGTCACTGCCCCAGTCTCTCCTTCTCTTCCTTCTGAAATGGTGAGCACTGATATGAGTGGTCAGGATGGTGGTGGAATGGAGATCCAGCAGGCTGTCTCAGCCGAAGGGGAAGAATGCATAATCAGTAGTCAGCCAGGAGCCCTGATTCTTAAATTCTGTTCCCCAACTGCACGGACAAGAATTTGATTTCTTCCTGGAGCTCTCATAATCAAAGGACTTTGTTGTATCTGAAGTAGGAACCAGAAACCCCCAATTTTCTCCCTGCATCTTCTCCAACACAACTTAAGACAATTGCTTCCTGACATTTGCCTTATATACCTCTCAGATGATCACTGTTCTTCACCCCTTCTGGCAAGTAGCATAGATGAGATCCTGTAAGATGAGCTTTGAAGTTGAAAGTTGTTATACTGGATTGATCCTTCACCATAGCCTGGTATCAATGCCCTCTGTAAAACTGAAGTGCCATTATCCAATCCCATTTGCAAAGCACTCTTTGCCATGGCAGATGTTGGAAGCTATTGAGATTGTTCTTGCTAAAACATTTGGATCTTCTAATAGCTATAGAAGATGCTGAACACAATTGCTCGTGTTGAACTTGGAGAAGTGAATTCTTCTGCCAGGCTCTTGCAAAGGAGAATTCTCCAAGTCATATCCTAGAAGGAGGATGCACAGGTCCTAGTCTACTGTCTGCAATAGGTAGCATGGGATGCGAAGCTTCAGCTTCCAAAGCTATGTAATAATGATGCCTGTCCCACTAACTGAAAAGCTGTGTGGTATGGGGGAAAAGGATGATAAATTGTGAGTCATGTGTTGTGGGAACTAGTTTTGTCCTACTAAATCAGTTATTCTCCCAGCTTTCAATAATGGTGAAAGGATTAACTAGGTCTGTGTTTCCCAAACTGGTGTTCCAAAAACACTCTTGAGAGTTGTAGGTGAGAGTGTTGCACACAAAAGCCCCACCACAAGGGCCTCCACAGTCAAACAGGGCTGGTATTCTGTATGCTTACACTCCTCTACTTTGACTAACCCCCACCCTGAGTTTCACGCTACACATTTAAACATAAATGTTCTGAGAAATCTTCCTATAACAAAACATTCACTTTATTCTAACCCATTGTCCCCAAATTTACTTGGATGAAGAATACTTTTTTTCATGGAACATCTCTGCAAGTCTCACAGACAGTGTTTTCTGAGAACTGCTTTGGGGCACACTGACAGGGCTAGATTTCTAAGGTCCTTTCCAGATCCTTCTATCTATGTCCTCCATAGCAGGAGAGGCGCAAGTACTTGCAAGACCACCAGGTCTATGTGAGCATTCAGGCCCTTATTACCAGCAAGGCAAATGCTAGAGAGCAGACATTGCAGGGATGGGTGCCCAGAGAAGCAACCTGAATGGAGGTGATTTTCCTGCAGTGTACATGGAATCCAGTCTTCCTATTCCAGGGTGAAGATCCCTGAGCTTTGAGTTTGAGCATTCCTGTGGATAAAATGATAGCCTTGTATATTCATAGGTTCCCACATTTAATACTATGTGTGATCCTTCAGAGGACTTGATGCTCTTTTCTTCCACCGCTTCTGGTAAAGAGCAAGACAAGGACTCATGGTCATCACAATCAATGAAGCATTTGATACCTCAAGAAGGAAGATTATTGAGCCAGTGGATGTTCTGAGTAAACTAAGATAGTGTGCAGGGGGCCATGGCAGTTTCCCGTCTTTGTAATATTCCACTGTGTTTATTATGTATGATAATGTGTCAGTCTTGTGCTTGACACTGAAGACTCAAGGCTGCACAAGACACAGCCCCTGCCCTGCTCATGCTTACATTTTAATGGGGGAAAATGGACAAAAACAAGTAAACAAACCAAATAACTCTAAGTGGTGATACATGCTATGATGAAAATATACACAGTGCTCAGAGTGAGAAGAGCAGGTATGACTGGTACATGAGTAAAAGGGAGAGAGAGCCCTTGTGCAAGTTTGGATTTTAAAATGTGGGAGTTTTAGAGGGCTCACAGAACTGAATATTGCAAAAGTGCCTCTTCATTGAAAGAATAAGATTGGCAATACAAACTTCTCCTTTAAGGATGATAAATAGCTTTAATGAGGATGAATGCTCCCCCACCATAGCTAAAGGATGAAGGAAATGTTTTAAAAAACCTATTCCTAACTCTCCACCATAAACTATTGCTCCTTAAGCTACTAATGTTTTTAAAGAAAACTTTACTAAAGTTAAACACATTGTACTTTTACCCTTATTAATATTAAAGATCCTTCACTTTTTTTCTTCTAATGCCCTGACACTGTTCAGTTGTTCATAAACATAGTGGGAAAATACTTAGTGTGAAAATTATAATATCAGAAATCTATCATTTGTTTAAAAAAATTCAACAGTAAGCTTTATTATTAAGTTTTCCCTTAAAGGTGCAGAGTATTTAAATACTATAAAGCCTGCTGTTTTGTGTTAGTGCCAAGATCAGTGCAACTCCAAAGTCATCGTCCTGATGTGATGGAAGTGAGAAGCAACTCTGACAGTTTAGCTAAATCTGAAACACAACGTGCTTGATCCCTCTCATGAGAGATGGGGTGACTGCTTTAAAGTGAAGTGCAGGGGTTCTCAGATGTGGTGGGTCGAGTGGGTCACAGGAGAAAAGCCTCAAAAACGTTGGACTGCAGAAAACATTTCACAATAGCCTGGTACCGCTGCGCACTGGGGAATTCACACATGCAGGAAACGCTGCACATAAGCCACACGGCAGACGCTTCAAGAGTACTCCAGCCTTGCTCCCCACTAAACCCACACAAGAAAGAAATGATAAAGGTGACAAACGTGGACAAGATTTAGTAAAAATAATACACTTTTGTCCAAATACGTTTTGCAAACAACCCTGGAAACACAAAGTGTGAACAAAGGCTCAGCCTTCCTACTTGAGAGCACTCCAGAGACTCCATTCAGGTGAGAACCCACAGACGCAATGTGAGCCCTTCAGCAAAGAATCCACTCTAAGCAATAGAGGGTAAAACCCAGAGAGGAAAGTAACAGGCAGTCTTGACCCATTATGTCAGAGTGCAACTGGCCATGAAATGCAGAGGGTGGTCAGGAAACTCCTGTCTGTGGAGTGACTCAGATGAATGTTTAGAAAATCCTTTATGGAATTCCAACCTTCTGTGTTATCCCAACTGTCCAGCTGGATCGAAAAGGCTGCTTAGCATTCCTGCTCTCAAGCTCTCCAGGGGAATTAAGACACTCTTCTCATGGTTCCAAAAGTTGATCAACCCTAGCACTTTTAGTTTGATTCCAAGCTCTCCTCCCGTGCTTCCCCTCCAGCTAAGACAGTGGAGGTTCTCAAGATAAGCTTGAGGTTCCAGACGCAGTCTGCTTAAGGGTGGGGAGAACTCTGGGTCTGGCACAGTTCCCACACTGTGGCCACTTAGCACAGTGCAGAGAGGATTTCAGGGTTACACTGGTCACTGTTCCAGTTCTCGGAACCAAGCCTGGAGCCACTGTAAGGCTGTTACCTGAACCACCTGAAATGAAGCACCTTCTGGTTTGTCCTAGAATCATTTGGTTATAAAAGACATTTCTGAGAACTTTAATACTAACGTTTCAGGCTAAACTTGTGTGTTGTACTTCATCTCTAAACCAAGCCTAAATAGGGGTGCCTGAGTGGCTCAGTAGGTTAAGCGGCTACCTTCGGCTCAGGTCATGATCCCAGGGTCCTGGCATCCAGCCCCACATCGGGCTCCCGGCTCCCTGCTCAGCAGGCAGTCTGCTTCTCCCTTGGCCCCTTCCCCCATTCATGCTTGCACTCTCGCACTCTCTCTCTCTGAAATAATACGATCTTTAACAAAAAAGAAACCAAGCCTGAATAGATTTTATGTTGCATTTTTGGTAGTCTGCTCTCATCCCTTTGACAGGCTACAGAAATTCCTTCTTCCAATGTCCACGTCTACCCCCAAATTTCCAAGCATGAGTTGTGGAACATTGTACTGCTGGTTCTTGGCTATGCAGACATTCCCAACAGAGGCTTCTCACTCCTCAACTGCAATGTCCTGCTCCTGCTTTCCTGCATGACCTTCCTCCCAACTACCACCTCTCAGTCCAAGAGGGCAGTCCCCTTCCTCTCTACACTGATCAGGACAAATCTGCTTCTGCCCTATGTCCTGTTTCTGAGGCCAACTCGCAGAAGGTATGAGAGGGGTAGTTAACAAATGAATGCTTAAAGTCTACTGCACTCACAGGAGGAAAAGAAAGGTAACCCCTACCCTCTCTGTAGCCCACTGATCAACAGAAACACATCTTTATGTACAAAAGCAGTGGAGCACAGAGGGAGAGCAAGAGAAGGGGAATGAAGCCAGAGAGGGAGGGATGGTTGCTTTGTCCACTTGAAAAACTAACCAACCTGGACTTGTCTCAGGTAAAAAAATCTATCCTTCTTTCCTATCACCTAGTCTTGTAAGCTCCTCAGTGTGCCTATCAGTGTTACATGAGCTCAGTGGAGCATCTACAGGAAGGCAGATCTCTTCTGAGGGCCAAAGTCCACGCGGACTGACACAGAAAGGGTTCCAGAGCTCTAGTAGAATAGCTGTGTCTATGTAGACAGGCCAGGTTATGCTGCAGAAACACACGACACCAATATCTCAATAGTTTAACAGAAGTTTATTTCTCATTCCCATAAAGTCCATCACAGGTTTGGGGGACTTTCCAGGACAACTGCTCTCCATGGAGGGGGGAGGTGGGGAGGAGGGCTCAGCATTCCAGACTACTTTGACCTTGTGGCCCCAGTTTCTGCGGACTTTCATGACTGAGGCAGGAAGGACACCACAGAGTCCTGCACAAACAAAGGCTTCAGCCCAGAAGTGGGGCTTCTGCTCACAACCCATTACCTTCAACTATCTCATGAGACCCTAAACTGCAAGCAGAAAACTATAACCAGTCTTCTTTATACTCTTCACTAGACTGTAAGTCCTGTGAGGGTCTATCTTTAGCTCTTTTATTCACCACTATATTCTCAGTCTAGACGAAACAGCTCCTGGGCACGTAAGAGGCCCCCATGAAATTGAATGAATGTAGCACCAGGAAGTTGTCCGCATGTATCCTGGGATGAGACAGAGTACCCGAAGCCTAAGGATGAGGGTGATGGGTAAAAGCTATGCAGACGAAAGCTTTTAAAGTTGGCTCTGCCTAAGAAGTAATACTTGGTATTGTTCATCTTGGGGAGGAAAACAAAATCCTGCTGAAAGCACCAGATCCACAGCTCAGGTGACTTACACCATAAAGTACTGAGGCCAAGGACCAAATCAACTGAGCAACATCACCACCAGCAGTGCACAACTCCTGAAAGGAGCTGAAAATAGCCATAAACACAACTGCTTCCTTACTGCAGTCAGTCTGCCCAGCACATCACTGGGGAACAGGGGAAAGGGAAGCAAATGCACACTGACTGAGCATCTACCACTGGCCAGGCTGTGAGGTGCTTTTCATTCACCAATCCCTCTAGTCCCTAGAATAACCGTGAGTTAAAATAGTTTTCTCTCTTTCACAGAACACATGGAGACCTAAGTGTTTTGGGAACCCATCAAGCCACAAGAACGTTTTTAAGTTAGAAGTAGATACAACACAATGTCATTCAGCCTGGTCCTGCAGGGATAACGTACACATCCTGCTAACCCTGCCTTCAGACCTCCCTGATGCAGCTAGCTGGCAGCCAACGGACCGGACCCACTAGCAATAGGGTCTTGAACAAGTCCCGTATCTGAGCCTTAACTTCATTGTTTATAAGGTATTTGGGAGAAATCATTTAACCCCCTTCGACCCCCTTCTTGATACAACCTAAAAGCTCTAACAGGAACACATGTCCCTGCTGTAGGTAGGAGTTCTAAGAAGATCCACAGCCTGGAGAGATGTTCAGCCATCTATATCATTTATCAGCTAAGGTTGTTGTTAAATGCTGCGTACAAAACAGAGATAGGCAGACCCTGCCTGCTTAATAATAGTTTGCAGTGTAACACAACCAACATGAATGCAGATTCACCCATCCTTGTCCACCAGTCAACATCAGTTCCCAAACCTTTCCTCTTGGGAACCCAATCTTCTGCCACACCCAGTGAACCACATCCTGCCTGCAGCACACACTCCAGTTTTGAAACAACCCTCTTTGTTCTTATAAACGAAAGCCAAATTAAAAAGCCAGCAAACAAAAACCTGATTTGATCTTGAACTTCCATAAATATCCGTTTAGGTCCCAGGAAAGTGCTAATATTTATGGTTGACACTGAGGGGAGAAAATGTCGTTTCTTTTATTGCAGACAATCTTCTTTACATGTAATACATAATCCATGGCTAAAAATTCCAACCCGTTTCCATATGATCTTGATGTTTTCCTCTATCGAACACCACCAATGAGAGGTGTAAGTTACTACAGTTACTTCTTGCAGATTCTCTAATGGTGAAGTAAACAGCATTTCATCACAGTAAAAATGGTGCTAAAAGGAATCAAGAGCTAAAATGTTCAAGAATGAACTCAAATGATATCCAACTTGGGGAACAGTGTCCAATGACAAAGGAGAGGAAGAAAATCCAATTTGGTTCTTGGAAAACTTAACAGACCTCATTTTTGTGTCACAGGGCTCTTGAAATTGGTAAGCCTGCTATCCTGAAGGCAATGGTATCCAATTAAACATGCAGATTATTCTTTCTTGTTTTGGAAGACCATGCTACAAATGTTTCGATCATGTTTAAAGTGGCTGGAAGATCAATGTAAAACCAACAACATGATGATCACAGAAGACTGATTAATTCATGGATGTATTTGCTATTTGAAGCTGAATTTGCTAATTGCCAAGCATAATCATGAAATAGTATATTCTCTACTCAGAATGTTCTTTGAACACCTTTCTTGTTAGGAATTCCCTGAAGTTTTATTAGTAATATTGTAATTAGTTCAGAACTAATGCACCCTCTGCAGAGTCAACCTTGATTCCTTTCTGAGAAACATGTTTATATCCCCAAATTTTCCATTGATGAATTATTCATGCTTCATAATTTTGTATTTTTCATAAACGTGAGGGTTAAGCTCTACTTGGTGAATTTCTTCAGACTCAGGACACTGGATAGGCTTCTGTTCAGTGGTGGCGTTTCTGTTTTTAAGAAGGCTGGACTGCCTGCTAAAGTTTCTCATGCCTATGCTACATGTGGGTTCTCCGGTGTTTACTAAGGTGGGAATTCTGACTGAATTTCTTTCCACATACATAACACATAAAGGGTTTCTCTCCAGTGTGAGTTCTTTGGTGTGTACGGAGATTTGAATTTTGACTGAAGCTTTTCCCACACCAGGAGCATTTATAGGGTTTTATTCCTTGGTGTATTGTTATGTGCTTATTAAGATCTGATTTCCCTCTAAAGCTCTTACCACAATGTTGACACTTATACGGCTTCACTTCTGTGTGAATTTTTTTGTGTTTAGTAAGATCAGAGGTAAGTCTGAAGTTTTTCCTGCACTCCTGGCATGTAAAAGGCTTCTCTACTGCACGAGCTTTCTTGTGAAGATCCATAAGTCTCTGCAGCTCTTCTTCCCAGATTGAAAGTTCCTTTGTTTGATTAACTGGAAACTCTTGATGCCACTTCCCCGTCCTGTGTGATTCACCATGATTTTCTTTGCCTGTTGTTTTCTGGGGAACTTTCACTCGGGTCTTTTTTGATACTATGTCTCCTGGTGCTTGTATTTCTAAGTCAGAAAGACACACAGGCTGATGGTTTTCAGTGTCAGTTTTGACCTTTAACCCTATGGGAATAAACATAACAATCAGCCAACTGTATGGCAAAGCAAAACTACAGGAATGGAGAGAAAAATCCAATGATTACTGATTCACAAAATAGAGATAAGCAGAATTTGAAATGCTAAGGTTGCTATCAAGGCACATTTGTCCTCTTCCCATGGTATATTTACCTGTAGGCAGCCCTCCAGGGCTGTTCTTGAACTCCAAGGGCCCTTGAATCCATGGCTCTTCCCCTTGCTCTAGATAGGAGATCACTTTAGGTTTGGGGAGCACAAATAATGCTGTGAAATGGGAAAAAGGAAGTCAAGGACTGGCAACTCAACAACTGTCCACCAACTCCACACTATTTCAGGAAGAGCAAAGGACAGTTTACAGTACATTACCCAATGGTCAAATGGGTGGACTCTCCTACCCAGTTTCAGGTTTATACTATACTGCATTTGTGGGTGGATACACAATGTGGAGATGGAGAAATAAACCTAAGCTGGACCCATGTAGAGGATAAAGGGCATGGGAATCCATCTACAGTGCCCCTCTTCTGCCACCAAGATTACCCTATATTTGAACAATGTTGAACCAAACCCCAGAGTTGGCAGGGAATACAGGTTAGTCCTATTAATTCCTTAGGATTAGCCCAAGTCTAGCAGAGCAAGGTGAAGATCAGTGGGCTGCATATCATATGCACTAGTGATTCCTGTGATGACAATAACTTTTTACTTAGCTTTTTTTTTTTTAGAATACATTTATTTATTTTTAGAGAGAGACAGTGCAAGCACAGGTGTACAAGCACACAAGTGGGGGGAGGGGCAGAGGAAGAGAATCTTTAAGCAGACTCCCCTCAGGGTGTGGAGCCCAACAAAGGGTTTGATCTAAAACTCATAAGATTGTGACCTGAGCTGAAATCAAGAGTCAAAAGTTTAACCAACTGAGCCACCCAGGTGCTCCTACTTTTTACTTAGCCTTTAAGCACCACACACTGGACTAGGAAAGATTCCTTCCACTCCTATAGTTCACTGGTTCTTGTCCAGATGGAAGAAACAGACCAGAATTACTTAATGAAACTTTTCTAAATATACATCACCAAGTTGGGGAAGTATGCATCACTCAGTCATTCAAACAATAAGTACTGACTGGCTATAATGTGCCAGGAACTCTCTTTGGGCTAATGATATAGTGGTGATTAAGCCAAAGCACTCTGATCTCATGGGATCTCACCTTCTGGTGGGATGAGACAACCAAACAGCAATAAATAAAAGTTGTCAGCACGTAATAAATATTTTGAAGAAAACTAAGGCAGGATAACTTAGCATTTAAGATTCTGTTTCTCTGGGGGCGCCTGGGTGGCTCAGTCGTTAGGCGTCTGCCTTCGGCTCAGGTCATGATCCCAGGGTCCTGAGATCAAGCCCCGCATTGGGCTCCCTGCTCAGCGAGAAGTCTGCTTCTCCCTCTCCCTCTACTTGTGTTCCCTCTCTCGCTGTCTCTCTGTCAAATAAATAAATAAAATCTTATATATATAAAAAAAAAAAAGATTCTGTTTCCCTGAAGCTATTTTAGATGAGGTAGTATAGAAGGCCTCTTTGAAAAACTGATATTGCAGCAGGAATGTAAAAGTGAGAGTTCTGCCATGTGGCAGAAAAGTGTGCCAGGTAGAGGAAAGGGCAAAGTAGAAATGACCATGGCAAATTCAAGAAACAGAAACATCAGAGAGGCTCAAGAGGACTGAGCAAGGGCACAAGTGGCAGCAGATGAGGGCAGGGTGGTGAGTAGGGTCAGACCCTGGAGGACCCTAAGCACTTCAGTAAGGTGTGGATTTTATTCTGAATGTGATGAGAAGTCATCATAAGGTTTGAAATGGGAAATGTCACGATTTGACCAGTTTTTAAAAGCATCTGGCTGCTGTGTGGAAAACAGGGAGGGAGGGCAAGAGGCAGGGGCACCAGTCAGAAAGTACCAAGGTCAGTCTGGTTAGACATGCTGCTGGCTTAAGCCAGGACGCTAATAGCACAAGGAGATGAGACATGGCTGCACTCAGGCTACACTGTGAAGGTGGAACCAAAAGGACAGTGATGCATTACAATGGGGTAGGACAGCAAGATCACAGTAAAGGATGACTGTATGTTCCTTCCTCTTAGCTACTGGGTGAATGCTCTTTACTGAGAAGAGTGCTCTATGAGAACAGATTTGGGGAAGGAGAAAAAAATAAATCAAGAAATCTACATAGCATATGGAGTGTGCACCTGGACAAAGCTCCCCAGTTGATCTGGATACACCTTTCCCCTGTCCACACACCATTTAGTTGAGAAGCAACCCGTTATTGGAACACAACCTCTCAGAGCACTACATTCCCAGTAAGCAGAGAACATGACAGATTACTCAACTTCCACCCAATGGGAGAGGGAAATTCTTTACCTAGAGAGATGACAGTCTCACAGTTTTCCCGCATTACATCATTGTAGAGGGCCTCCTGAGTGGGATCCAGTAACTCCCATTCTTCCTGGGAAAAATACATGGCCACTTCCTCAAATGTCAACAAGCTCTAAAGAAGACAATGGGCTTCAGCTCAGTACTTGCACTACAGAAGCAACACTATCGTCTGGCCCATGGTAGACCCTGGGCATTCAAGGAATTAAAAGCACTTTTTTTTTAAAATGCAAAATGGAAAGAAGCAAGGGATCATCAACAGCCTAGGAGGTGCCCAGTTCCCCAGGGAGAACACTGGGACTAATATGCCTGTGAGCTGGGCAGTGGGGTCCTGGGGAACAGGGAAAGACAGCCCTCAATAGCTGGATTGCACAGCTCACCTGGGACTCAGGCAAGACGAACTCAGGTGCCACTGTCCAGTCTTTGGTGTTTGTCTTCTCAGAAAAGGCTAGGATCTGGTGAACAGGCACAGCTGTGGGTAGAAAAGAGCCAGCAAAAATTTCTCTCACTTCAGTCTATGAACATCCTTACCTCATTTCTAAAATATAGAAGATCCTGTTTCTTTTAGTACATATGGGACATGTTTACAAATGTTAAGTGATATCTAGTAGTGGCCTTCTCACAGTAAACAAGAATCGAGTATCTAATAACCCCCAAAATCATTCCCCAGTTGACTGTCTTCAGTTTTCATGTAGTCAGTAAAAGGAAATCTTACTTTTTCTTATATTATATAAAATGTTTTGAGTTCAGCAAAAATCAGGGGTGTTTAAAAATGTAGAACTCAGAGTCAATGTGCCAATTGAAGAAATGGAAAGGTAGAAATTAGCTTGGTGAGTTCAAGCAACAGCAAAATCAGTGTGGATAGAGAAGACCGAACAAAGACACCAGTGGAAAAAGACAAGGGCAGGAAGGTGAGTAGCAGACAGATCTTACAGGCTCCTGGGTAACTCAGTAAGGAATATGGATTTTATTCTGAATGTGTGAGAAGACATCCTAAGATTTACAGCACAGAAATTTCATGATTTGATCAGGACATTAAAATAATAAAAGGATGAGACACGGTTGCACTCTGCCTACACTATGATGGTGGAGCCAAATGGACAGTGATGCATTAGTAGTGGGTTGTGATGGCAAGATTATGCCTAAGGATGACTGTATTTTTCTGGTGTGACAGATTGGATAAATGATGGTACCTTGTATGGGGATGGGAAAGGTAAAAAAAAGAGCAGATTTGGAGGGGAGGAAGGGATCAAGAATTTTAGGACAAGGAATGACCATGTGCACCTGGACAAAGCTCCCCAGGTGATCTGGATACACCTTTTCCTGTCCACATACCATCTAGGTGAGAAGCAACCTGTTATCGGCGGAACACAGCCTCTCAGAGGAATACATTCCCAGTAAGAGAAAATATGACAGATTACTCAACTTCTACTCAATGCGAGCGATTCTTTACCTAGAGAGATGATAGTCTCATAGTTTTCCCGCATTACATCATTGTAGAGAGCCTTCTGAGTGGGATCCAGTAATTCCCATTCTTCCTGGGAAAAATACATGGCCACTTCTTCAAATGTCAACAAGCTCTAAAGAAGACAATGGGCTTCAGCTCAGTACTTGCACTACAGAAGCAGCCCTACCATCTGGCCCATGGTAGACCCTGGGCACTCCAGGAATTAATAACATCTTTTCTTTTTTTTAAGGATTTTTAAAAATATTTATTTATTAGACAGAGAGAGAGAAAGAGATAGCAAAAGAGAGCACAAGCAGGGGGGTGGGGATGGAGAGGGAGAAGCACGCAGGGCCTGATCCCAGGACTCTGGGATCATTATCTGAGCCTAAGGCAGTTGCCCAACCAACTGAGCCACCTAGGCGACCCACTTTTTTTTTTTTAAGTGAGAAGGCAAAAAGGAAAAAAAGCAAGGGATTCCCCGGGGAGAACACTGGGGCTAAGATGCCTGTGAGCTGGGCAGTGTGGGTCCTGCTCAGCAGGAAAAGACAGCCCTAAATAGCTGGATTGCACAGCTCACCTGGGACTTAGGCAAGAGGAGCTCAGGTGCCATTGTCCAGTCTTTGGTATTTGTTTTCTCAGAAAAGGCTAGGATCTGGTGAACAGGCATAGCTGTGGGTAGAAAAGAGCCGGAGGAAATTTCTCTCATTTCTTTGAACATTCTGACCCTATTTCTAAAATACAGACAATACCAATTCTTTCATCAGAGACAGGATACATTTGCAAGTATGTATGGTGTCTTAAAGTAGCCTTCTCATCACAAATAAGAGCCAAATTATCAACTGACACCTAGAATAGGTTCCACGATTTTCAGGAGTGACTTAATGAAAGAAAAACCCTTTTTAGTTTCCTCTGATGAAATAAATTGTTCTCAATTAGGCAAAACTCATACATATTTTAAAAATGAAGTACTTAGGAAATCCAGTGTATAATAAAAGATATGACTTTTTTATCATTTTTTTCTTGATATATAATTGTGTTCATATTCTGCCACTGATAACCCATTTCTGATCTTAATTTCTTCTGTATTTTATAAGAATGAGATGGCTCCTATTATCTCCAGTTTTCTAAAGAAGAGCTCATGGTCTTACTACCAGAGCTCAGTGGTATAGATACTGCTATATCACAGGCCAATGTCCAACTTCACCCACAACTGGTCTACTCTACTGACACCTGGGGACCATGATAATTGCTAACGTATCTGTTTATAGATCTACACTGCTCAACATATAGAAAATACAACATTCTGATAGCACAAATTCCTATCAGTTCCTAGGAAATAGTAATTATCATGTCCTGCCCTACCTGTCTCACATACAGGCTCAGTTTCCTTACGAGAATTCCAGCTCAGTTGTTCCTGCAGCCCCTGGTGTATAGTCCAAAATTCATCGTGGGACATGTCCACTGGCTGTGACTCTGATGCCTTCCTCTTGAAGCCTGTGACATCTACAGTTTCTCTGAAGAGCACGCCCTCTTTTCCAAGCTCTTGGTTTGCAACCTAGAAATAAATAATCTTCATCTATTAACAGATAACTTACTTTTGGTTAGGGGGTTGATGATAGAAAGAGGAAAAAGCTGAGTACAGATGGCAGGAAGTATGAAACACTAAGAAAAATGACTGAAAGATGAAAGGAGATATTGGGCCACCAATTTCCCACAAGGTATTAACTACAAAAGCTGGGGGGAAAAAAGTTGTGGCAACTGCTAGCTCTCAGACACAGTTGCTCCCACCCATCTGCATGCAGCAAAGCACAGACTAGCAGGGTTGCATAGATTACGTATACTCATGCTATCTTGACAGGTTTTCTCCTTGACTTAGAACCTTCCCTTAGTGGTTTTCTGTCTTCCACTTTTCACCCATTACCATCTTTTTTGGCAACTGAGACCATGTATGGCCGGGAATAAAATCAATAAAAGGATCTTCTTACTAAAACACTGACAGCAGAAAAAGGTGCACATCAGTAAGAAAGTCACATGAACTTTACTACCCACTACTCATAATGGGTGAAAAATGCACGGAAAATTCCTGCCTTGCTATCATTTTATTATTTTTTTAATTTGACCTTTTTTTTTTTAAAGATTTTATCTATTTATCTGAGAGAGAGAGAGAGAGAGAGCAAGAGAGAGGGGAGGGTCAGAGGGAGAAGCAGATTCCCCGATGAGCGGGGAGCCTGACACAGGGTTCAATCTCAGAAGCCTGAGATCATGACCTGGCCCAAGGCAGCCACATAACTGACTGAGCCACCCAGGTGCCCCTGCTTTCCTTTTAAAGAATCCACTGCCAGACCCTTTCTTCTTCTCTTATCCACTTGAAATAAGGCACAGCGCATTGATAGACAAATGCCCACTGAGGACTTGGCCTTTGCAAAAATAATGATTCAAGAAAGGTTAGACAGTGAGAACATTTACACCCTCTGGATGCAAGGAGCCTGGGGATTATCCAAAGACTTCATTGCTGTGCTTCCTATGCCAGCTTCCCCATACCAAGGGAGATCAGGAGACTATTCTGCGTTCCTCTTAAATTTTTTTTAAGATTTTATTTATTTATTTATTTGAGAGAGAGAGAGAGAAACAGCATGAGAGGGGATAGGGTCAGAAGGAGAAGCAGGCTCCCCGATGAGCCGGGAGCCCGATGCGGGACTCGATCCCAGGACTCCGGGATCATGACCTGAGCCGAAGGCAGTCGCTTAACCAACTGAGCCACCCAGGCGCCCGTTCCTCTTAAATTTTAACGTGTCATCCCAGTCTTCTGTCTCTACTAAGGGGGTCCAACTTCTCTGACCCTTCATCCTCTTGTGAAGACGGAAGCCCTCAGTGCGTGGAACGTTCCAGATTCTCCTTTTCACTCTACGAATACTGGCAGGAGAGCTGGGACACCGAAGTGAGACCAGAGAAGAAGGGAAGTAATTAGGGAAAAAGCAGTCCTATTCTTCTCAGACAGCATTCCCGGATTAAGTAACTAGATGCTCAACACTCTTGTTTGACACTTCCCTGCAAGAAGCATAAAGGGCACCGTGCACAAGATCCATTCCTGTGTTTTTAAATCTCTTTACTTGACCCAGAAAAATCACAGCTGATCTTTGCTTACAAAACGTTTATCCACAGGCCAAGTCGCAAAGGAGGAGAGAAGGAGAGTTGGTGGTGTTGAGAGTGACCCTTCGGCCCACCTTCCCTTTCTTCGACGCTCAATTTAGACCTCGAGGCGAGACTGAGGAGAGTCCCGGGACCTCGCTTTCCCTGGCGTGAGCCCGCAGGAACGGCACCCAAAGTCGACCAGGATGCCACGGTATTCCCAAACGGACGGCCGCCAGCAGGCTCAGCGGGCACCGGGACGCTTGCCGTGCTTGGGTACCAGCAAAGGCTGACGTCTCCGAGGCTGCACCGCCCGGGTCCCCGGCGCGCGGCAACACCGGCCAGCGAGGCCCCGACGCCGGCTGCGCAAAGGCGGACAACAGGATGGCCTCCGGAGCCTGACGGCGGGGCTTCCAGAAATGGTTCCGCCGTCAGGCGGCGCCGCCCGGCCTGGAAACACCGCGGTCCACGGACAACGGCGGCCAGGCTCCCTCGGGACCTCCGCGGCCGACGCCGCTCCCCCTGCCACCCGCTCACCTGCAGGCCGCCGCCCTCCGCCCCGCGCCGCTCCGAGGCGGGCCCCGCCCCGTGCGACACCGTCCTCAGCACCGGCCCTCAGGCCCGCGTCGCTGCCCGGGCCCCATCCGACACCGCGCTCCAGCCGGAAGCGGACTCACGCCCTTCCGGGGAGGGGCTTCGAGCAGCCGCGCCGCGGGCCGCGGCCTCGCGGAGGCAAAGCGGCTTTCCGCCGGGTGCCGCCCTGGCGGCGGGAAAGAGTTAATGCTACCGAGTGTCCCGTTTCCCGCCGCGGCCTAGAGGGGCCTGCGCGGCTCGGCGAGCTGCTGTCGCCGCCTCGCGTCCCGGCTCCGGGAGGCGCTGCGCGTCCGGCTGGTACCTGCGTAGCTTTCGGGCGGCTGGCTGCGCCTGATCCCCCGAGCCCCGCCCGGCGAGGGTGGCCGCCCCTGCGCGCGCGGGGCCCTCGCTCTTCCTGGGGCTTGCGTCCCGGTCGGGATCGGCGGCCCCCGAGGGCTTGTTCCCTCCTCTGGGCCGCGCGTCCCTCACAGCGATCACGTTTTCCTGGTGAGGTAGGTTTCAGCCGCTGAGACGGGCCCCATTTGTAGTGTCCTTGACAGGGACATGGAGGCGCGGCTCGGCCCGGGTCCCACGAGCGACGGGCGGCGGCCCCTAGTATGGGATTTAGGTCCCCTGCAGTCTTGGCTCCCGCTCCGTCCGCCACGGCATGCTCCCTGGATGATGGGAACCCCCTTTCCATCTTGTGTCCCCTGCAGTCTCTGCCAGAGTTCGTGAACCCTACTTCTCAGGATCCGGGCATTTCAGGGTGTCGGCGTCTCCTAATCATCAGGGCTCTCCTAGCGTCAGCCTTCGCCAGGCAACGGGTTACTTACTAGGTCCACTACGTGCAGGCAGGGCTAGAGTGCACAGGGCAAAGTCTTTGCTGCAAGGAATCTCACCAAAGGACCGGGGCATTTTCGTGACCGGCAGTAGTTACACAGGCTAGGAAGAGCTCGGGAGGCCTAGGCTGAGCGCTGCGGGAGTCCAAGGAAGTCAAAGTTGACTTATGGTTGGGGAAATGGGCAAAGACCTTGAACCTCCGTGGTCTGTCCGCACCACGGAGTGGGGCCACATCCACGCAGAGGGAAAGCTGGAAAAGATTGGGGTGTGAGAAGATCCGTCATACGTTTCCACTAAGTGTGATCGGGCTACATTTGGAGGAAGACTGAACAGTGAGAAAGTAAGTTCTAGTAGCCCTCTCACGGGGTGCGTTGCATGGCAGTGAAGAGACTGCATTTAATAAAAGTAAATCCTGGAGCATCGCTGGAGGCTTTTCTGAGGGAGCTTCTTTCCAGGGCAGTTCATCTGGAAGTAAGGTGAAGGTGGGAATGAAAATGGGAGACCAGTACCAGGCCATTATATTACTTTTGCTTTTAGGTGGAATCCTGTTATGCTTCTCTGATCCTTTCTCAAAGGATTAAACACGGGAGATAAGAATAAGCATCTGCCTAAGTCACTTGAATAGGTTTCAGAGCAGATTCATTTCCTTAGAATCCGAGTCAGGTTGAGACTTAAGTTTCTTCAAAAGCAATTCTTTCCAGGCTTCCAGAAGCAGAGGACAGTAGTGCTCTTAGCATTGAGATCCTCACCATCAGGCCCAAGGCTGAGCATATACTCGGAACTTTACTAAAGTGAACAAATGAACTTCTGCCAGTGGTGCCTTTGCATGGGTACAGAGGTGGTTGGGGGAGAAAAAGTGGGAAAAGAGACCCCCGTGAATGCAAGAAGAAGGCACAAACTGGTGAATAGTGAATGAGGGCCAGTAATGATTTTTGTAGTTTGAAGTCTGTGCCAGAGTTCCTTTCCCTTGCTGTGGAGCCCACCATCATCCCCCGCCAGGGGTACTGCTTGAAAAATGATGAAATGTACAGCTGGGAATTGATGACAGCAAAGACCTGCACTTTTTTCTGAGTTACCACACAACTGCAGTAGCGGGCTGAATGGCTTTGCTGCGTGACTGGCTGGAGTTAACAGTGCTGCTACTGACGAACCAATTCCTGCTTTTTTCTTTTTCCGTTTATATTAGTTATCACTGAATAATTCCCTTAGTTATGGCTGCCTTTTAGAAAGCTGCTTGATCTTAGTCTGTATTTGCACCACACCCCATTCACAATCATATTTTTTCATGATCCCCTCCATGCTTCATAATCTCTTGAGATCGGGATGTGCATGAGTGATCAGTGTCTAGTAATGGTGAGGAAGCAGCAGCTCTTGGTGAGGATATACAAAGTGCATCTGGGCGACAGGTGAGGAAGGGCATTCAGAACCTGGTGAGTTTCATTATGAAGAACTAAGTGAAAAGCACTAGAGTCTGGCTAGTGGAGAGGAGCCAAGTTGAGAAATGCACAGTAGCCCTTTGTCACCCACCAGAAACTATGAGCTAGCTTGGGGTGGTCCCCTGCCCTTCGTCTATGGGGAGAATTTCTCATTTGCTACAATAACATAGACACTGATACATTCAGTGAATGTTTAGGGTCCCTGATACAAATGTAGAACCTCAGAATAGTTCCCAACAGAAGGCCAGGGAAAGGACAACTATCCCTCACCCAGGGAATCAGGAAAATTGGGAGTTGGTGAATTAAAATCCAGTGTCTCTTGTGGAAAGGTTCCTTGAGTGCAGATGCCATGTGCTATACACAAAATAATGTTGTATTAGAGCTGCTGCTGCTGCCAGGATTAACGGGTCAGTATGGGATAGTGATGAGTTTCACAAAGTATGCACTTGTCCAGTTAGGGACTAGGTCTGACATCTGGTCAGTGCAACGATCTTGTACATTTTGGGAGAAGGGAGGTGTGACAGGCACAGGAGAAGGAACATGGCTTTGGTTGTGGGAGATTTGTGGGAAGAAAGCAACTGAGATCCCAATCCCAAGTCTGGGAGAGGCACAGAGTAAAGGAGGAGTGTGGGTCAGAGGGACACTGTAGACTGAGCGCCTCTGTGGTCAACAGGAAGCAGCTCACTGGGTGCGGAGACTGCATGACTGGAAGGGAGATGCTGGTGTCCCCAGTGAGGAGGCAGACATGTCCTCGGGCAGCAGGGGGAAGAGTGGTGTTGACATAATGTGGAGAAGGCAGAGCTGTGTGGTGGGGACACATTAGGGTCCAAGCTGAGGAGGTTCATGAAGGATCCGTGAGGTTGGGATAATTAATAACACCTAGGAGGGAGCGCAGAAGGGCAAGCAGCAGCACATGTATGGAGTTAGACCCTGGGCAGGTGAATAGCGGGAGCCCCTACATGCTGGTAGGCATCCTGCTCCAGGCCCCCTTGCCCTCTCTCTGGGGGGACGGTCTCTCCCTTGGGGCCCCCACCATTTCAGAGCCAAGATCCTAACAGGAATGTAAGGGTTAAAAGAGCTACCTGAAACCTGTCTGGGATGTGAAGGGCAGAGCAAGAAGTAGAGGTGAGCAAGAAGTGGAGGTGACAGGGAGCACTGCAGGTTGGTAGCACGTGTCAGGACGCCCAGCTGCCTCTCCCTACCACCCCTCGGTCACCAAGGACCAGTTAGAAGCTTGGGACGTAAGGGATGCAGGTGGCTCTGAGAGACACAAGTAGCTCTGAGGAGCCTGCCACGTGCCACGTATTGGTTGGGGATTTCACAGTGAACATGACAGGCGTGGTCCCTGGCCTGCAGGAGCCTACACTCCATGGGCGAAACAGACAACAGGCAAAGGAAGAAAGCTACTTTGGGATAAGTGCTCTACAGGAATGAGCAGGCTGACGTGCTGGACAAGGACCGTGGGGCACGCAGGAAGCAGGCACGGCCTCTCCAAGGGAAAATTCACAGTACTGTACAATCACCACTTCTACCCAGTTCCAAAACATTTTCACCCCCCAAAAGGAAACCCTGTACCAATTAGGAAGTTACTCCTCATTCTCTTTCGATTTGCATTTTCTGTGAATTCTAGAAAGGGTATCTATCCTACAACACATGACTTGCCGGCCTTCCCTCACTGAGCAGGTTTCAAGGCTGTATTACTACTTCGTTCCTTTTCATGTCTGAATGATCCATTGCAGGGACAGACTTTATACAGGTCTTCCAGTGAAACACTGTGGCTGCATACATTTAAAGACGGCCCACAGCCACTGCTGCCTTTTATGCTTAATTGAAAGCTTCCATTATAGGGTGCTCAGTAACTTTTATTTATTTTTAAAATCCTACTTATCTAAGTAATCTCGACACCCGACATGGGGCTCGAACTGACAACCTCAAGATCGAGAGTCCCATGCTCTTCTGACTGAGCCAGCCAGGCATGCGTGCTCTGTAACCTTTAAGTCAGCTCTTGTGTCACCTGGGTTCCTCAGTTGGTTAAGCGAGTGCCTTCGGCTCAGTTCATGATCCCAGAGTCCTGGGATCGAGCCCTGCATTGGGCTCCCTGCTCAGCAGGGAGCCTGCTTCTCCCTCTCCCTCTATCTGCTACACCGCCGCTTGTGCTCTCTCTCTCTCTGTCAAATAAATAAATTGAAAATCTTAAAAAAAAAAGTCAGCTCTTTATTTAATCCAAATTCTATAGGAAAATATGACATGTTCACACTGTGTATGTTGGCTAACTTCTGTTGATGAAGTGGAAAATTGTCTAAGAGGTGTATTTGCTGTAATGTTTTCTACAGATGAAACAATCGGTATGTCAGTATAAATCTTAGCATTTACTTCTTTTTAGTCCCTGGGAACATCACGGCTCTCTAGTGTGGGGTTCCTGAGGCTTTGGGGTTGAATGTGAAGGGGGGCAGGACTCACCATGTGCCCAGTTCGCTCCTGCTGCTCATCCTGGTTTCGGGCTGTTCAGATCCCTAGTGCTGTAAACTGCTCAGAATCAGACTTGTGTGTGTCCCCCGAGGTTCCGTTAATCAGTCAAAAAAATGAACCCCTTCCTTACGAGAATTCTTGCAGATGGATTTCTGGGACAGAATATATTATGCTGGCCTGAAAAAAATGGAAGGCTTGAGTTACTGTGGTATTTTTAGGACTACTAGGGTCATCTCTAGGTGGTGGGGCTGGAGCTTTATCTATAATGTGCATAGGAAACATTTTTTTTCTCTAATGTGCATACAACTACTTTAGAATGAAGCAAGTCTTTTTTTTAAATAAACAGCTATTATGCCAGCAATCTGCTGAAAGGAGCTTCTCGCCACCCAGAGGCCACTGGCGCTGGCTCAGACGCACCTGGGGGGCGTGTTCAGGCACATCCCCAGAACTTCAGATACAGTGGGTGCAGGTGGGGCCCAGGAATATGCGTTTGTGACAGGTTACCAGCGCGGCTGGCCTGTGACCCCACTCAGCCCGTGCTCTGTGGCAGCCGCCCTCCACCAGAGGCCGTTTTCTCCTCAGCCTGGCTGATGGCGCAGGCCCCCAGGAACCTTTCCCAGAAGAGGGGTCTTCGAGACCAGGAGACTGTGTGTTGGGCAGCTGGGGCCCAGGTGAGCTGTGCTTGATGCCTGTTGTCTCCCGAGGTTCCCATTTCACTCTTCCCCCCAAGCCCCTTCTTACCAGGGATGTTAGAAAGATCATGAGGTCTATCCACTGGCTGTCCCTTGCATTGTTGTCTGTCCATCTGGCGTCTCCACATGGCTCTGTGCTCACCCTGGTGCTTCCCTCGGAGGCCTGACCTCCCTGCCTTGCTTTGCCCGCATCTGGTGCCAGTGGTCCTGTCTCTGCCCCACGCCAGGCTGGAGCAGTGCTACTTTATAGGCGGCAGCAGCCCCCGGTGTTGTTACAGGGACCAGTCACGTGCGAGGACAGAGCCATATCCCTCTGTCAGGAAGGACAGACACTCTATGGCCCTACACAGAGGGCCCTCTACAGGGGCGTCACTCAGAAGAATGACAGAGATCACTCTGCGTAAGGATGCCCATTCCCTCAGGGCCAGACTGTCTGTGTTCCTTTGTTCAGAGAGAGACGCAGACCGGAAGACCCGAGAAAGGAGGAGACAGACAGAGGCAGTGCAGACTGTTGGGTGGAGGGAGGGAGATAAAGCCGAAGAGTCTGAGAGCAGGCACGACACACAGAGACTGCAAGAAAGGGAAAGCAAGACACCAGAGGGCTCAGGACAGGGTGGACAGCACGTGTGACAGCACGCGGGAACAAGGGAGGGGCGAGATATGGAAAGCAGTGGGGACAGAGTGTGGCAGGTAGAGCATGGCACTGGGGGACAGCCCGCAGCGAGGGAGACACGGCCTGTGGGAAGAGCAGGGCGACACGAATGCACATGTGCTCACGCACACAGCGGAGACCAACTGAGGGGCAGCGGGCACTCGAACGGCCCAGGCCTTTGGGGGGCAGCGGGCCCGTTCTGAGCATCAGACCATTAGAGCACTCCCTCAGGGATTCCCCCACCGCGGACACAGGCGAGCATCACGCTTACCATGAATCGGCTCTCAGGACAAATGAGTGGGATTCAGGATAAAGAGAAACAAAGGGGCAGCTTTGGTAAATATTCCACAGCCCCTTCTCCGTCAGAGAGGATGCCCTTCCCGCTACGCCGAGTGTGTGTGTTTTAGGAAAGAAGCCCACAGTGGGGTAGCTTCCCAGGGATGACAGCACACAGTTGTGGCAGAGCCTGACAAACCGGCACGTAACTTCCTGAGCTGCTAACCCGGCCGTGTGGTGTGCAGGCCCCCGTGGTCTTATCGTGTGTCCCCTGGCCCTGGGCAGCAGGTGTGCACTGGGGCGACGAGGAGACCGAGATGCTCCTGGCCATCCTGTGGGATGCTCAACATCATGAGAAACTCCAGACTCGTGAGCACAGCCAGACCTACAGGGCGGTGGCAGGACGACTCCGGGAGCAGGGCTTTCTGCGGACCCCAGAGCAGTGTCGCACCGAGTTCACCAGCCTGCCGTCGAGGTACCACAAGGGGAGGGCAGGCCGTGTGCCTGAGCCTTGTGTCCTCTGTGAGGCCCTGTCAAGCTCCTGGGCCTCTGCACCCACGGTGGCAAGCGGTGCTGTTCCTGGCCAAGAAGGAAGGGCTGCAGAGCCCGGAGAGCTGAGTCAGCAGAACGGGGAGCCCACAGAGGTCGGAGAAGGGGCCCGGGCAGATGGTGCAGCCGGGGATGAGCAGGACTTCCGGGATTCTGGCCGGGAAGGTAGGAGACGTGACCCGCCAGTCTTGTTTCCACACAGAGTTGGTGGAACTCTTGGCTCTGACAGCCAAGGGACAGGGACATCCCCCCAGTGGCCATCAGCCCAGCCATCAAGAGGGAGCTGCCTCTGCCGCTGGCGTGCTCACTGTCCTGATGGACGGCCTGGCACGGGCCCGGGAGGCCAGCTCTCGGTGTGGAGGCTTTCCCCTTGACCTTCAGAGCCCAGGTCCGCATCCGCCAGCCTCTTTCACGGAGTACGTGGCATTTTTCCTGTGCAGCTCCCTTCCTCGGCTTCCTCAGACTGCCACAGGCTCCAGCCCAGACTCTCTCCCCTGCCCTCCTGCTCCAGCACCACCCTCCTTTCCTGGCCTGAGCGTGTGCTGGCCACATCGTGGTAACACGCTTTCCTCTCATTTCAGCCAAGCTCAGGGCAGCCTGTTGTTACTCAGCTGCCGGCGGCAAGGCCATCAAGAGTTGAGGTGAAGCCTGGAGATAGACTGGCAGATAACCCAGTGCTGGCCTCTCGGCCTCAGACATGTCACGGTCTGAACATCCAAAAAGAGACAGTATGGGGCACCTGGGTGGCTGAGTCAGTTAAGCGTCTGCCTTCGGCTCAGGTTGTGATCCCTGGGTCCTGGGATCCAGCCCCGTGTCAGGATCCCTGCTCAGCAGGTAGCCTGCTTCTCCCTCTCCCTCTGCCTGCTGCTCTGCCTACTTGTGCGCACACTCTCTTGGGGTCAAATAAATAAATAAAATCTATTTTTAAAAAAGAGAGATGGTATAGGACAGTAGGTGGAATCTAGGGGCAATTTTCCCTTGACCACAGGGTTTGGAGCTTGAACGTACTACAATCGGAGAATGAAACTAGGCTAGTACTTAGCAGAAAGCTGAATCCCGTGAGGAATTCCATTTAAGGGGTGTGTGGGTGGCTTAGGTGGTTAAGCATCTGCCTTTGGCTCAGGTCATGATCCCGGGGTCCTGGGATTGAGCTCGCTGCTTAGTGGGGAACCTGTTTCTCCCTATCCCTTCCTGGTGCACACACTTGCTTTCTCTCTTTCTCCAATAAATAAGTAAGATCTTTTTAAAAAAAGAAAGAGGGAGGGCGCCTGGGTGGCTCAGTTGGTTAAGCAACTGCCTTCGGCTCAGGTCATGATCCTGGAGTCCCGGGATCGAGTCCCACATCGGGCTCCCTGCTTAGCAGGGAGTCTGCTTCTCCCTCTGACCCTCCCCCCTCTTGTGCTCTCTCTCTCTCTCTCCCTCATTCTCTCTCTCTCAAATAAACAAAATCCTAAAAAAAGAAAGAAAGAGGGCACCTGGGTGGCTCAGTCAGTTGATCGTCTGCCTTTGGTGATCCCGGCGTCCTGGGATCGAGTCGTGCATAGGGCTCCCCACTCTGCGGGGAGCCTGCTTCTCCCTCTGCCTGCCGCTCCACCTGCTTTCTCTCTCTGTTAAATAAATAAATAAAATCTTTAAAAAAATAAAAAAGAAAAAGAAAAGAAAGAGACAGTATAGAACAGTAAGTGGAATCTAGCAGTTTTTTTCCCCATGACCACAGGGTTTGGAGCTTGAATATACAACAACTGGAAAATGAAATGAGGCTATTACTCAGCAGAAGGCTAAATCCCGTGAAGAATTCCATTTAGGTATTTCTCCCTTATGGCGCTTTAACTGTAACTTTCCTCATTGTTCTGTTCTTTCTCCATACTCCCGTGTCTTTCTGTTCCCTCCAGTCTTGAGATCAAGAATAAAACTAAAACAGAGAATCAGAAATGGGATGATTCAGGGCAAGCAGAAGTGAAGAAGGCCCTATGGAGAAAGTCTAGTGAAATTTTTTGGCACCCCGAGCCCAAGAGAGGCCAGAAGGGTGAGCCTGAGCCAAGAGGGCAACGTAGACTTTCTCCAGGGGAGCGTGCACGGAGACCCCTATCCCAGGACAGGCGGAGTCAGCAGACTCTCCGTGCTGGTGAGAAGGCCTGGGCGCATGTCCCGAGTAGGGGAGACTACTCTCAGGGCTCTCCCTGTCACCACCAGCCAGTCCCCAAATTGGAAAAAACATCTAAGTGCCAGCAGTGTGGGAAAAGCTTTAGCCAAGGTTCTTACCTCATTCGGCAACAGAGAATCCACACAGGAGAGAAGCCTCACAAGTGCAGTGAATGTGGGAAAGGCTTCAGTGAGCGCTCCAACATCATTGCCCACCTAAGGACGCACACGGGGGGAGACCCTACCGCTGTGGGGAATGTGGGAAAAGCTTCAACCAGAGCTCCAGCCTCATTGTCCACCAGAGGACCCACACTGGCGAGAAGCCTTACGAGTGCGCTGTCTGTGGGAAGAGATTTAACAACAGCTCCCAGTTCAGCGCTCACCGGCGAGCCCACACCGGGCAGAGCCCCCCCTCCACCCCACGCGCACTGTGGGAAAAGCTTCAACAACGGCGCCCACGGCCATGCCCACCAGAAGACACACACCAGGGAGAAGCCGTACAAGTGCCCTCGGAGTGAGAAAAGCTTCCCCAAGAATCCCGTCCTCATCCACCATCAGGGGGCACACAGAAGACACACTCACACCCCAAGAAGGGACGCATGCTGCGATTGTGTAGGAAAGCCAACAGATCAATTCCCTAGTTTGAGTCTCTCCTGGAGCTTCCATTGGCTTGTGGAGGCTTCTGCCAGCCAGTCTGTGGCTCAGCAGGAGACCTACAAGTGGATCTCAAGAACCACAGCGGGACTAGGAATCAGCATTAGAGTGCTGAGCTCTCTTTCTAGGTCTGCCTGTGACCCCCAGTCCTGTGTCACCATGGACTTCCATCCGCTTTGGATCCTGTGGGGTAACCTTGTTCTGAAAAGAGAATGGGTGGCTAGTGGCCTGGGAACTGTTCCTGGGGCAGGTCAGAGAAGAAATTTTTTGGGCTCATGGGAAGCACATCTAGAAGTGAATGGCCTCGACGTATCCTAAACCAATAATGACCTCTAGGCACCTGCTCTCTGGTACGTCTACCTCAGAGTAGGTCACTGCTCTGTACTCCAGTCACCCAGAAAAGACAGCAAAGCAGGAGGGACAGCTTCAGCCACAGGGTACCACTACTCTAAGTGACTTAATCTCAGAGCAAGTGTGACATCTGGGTTCCTCTTTCTAAGATTTCTCCTCTAGATCACTCCCATCCAGGTTCCTGGTCTTGGGTCTTACATTTAATGGTTTCAACAGGTTTATAAGCATTACTATTTCTTTTTTTTTTTTTTAAGATTTTATTTATTTATTTGAGAGAGAGAGAATGAGAGGCAGAGAGCACGAGAGGGAAGAGGGCAGAGGGAGAAGCAGACCCCCTGCCGAGCAGGGAGCCCAATGTGGGACTTGATCCCGGGACTCCAGGATCATGACCTGAGCCGAAGGCAGTCGCTTAACCAACTGAGCCACACAGGCGCCCTAAGCATTACTATTTCTAATGAAAATAAAGGTGTTTCGGGGTGCCTGGGTGGCTCAGTTGGTTGAACGACTGCCTTCGGCTCGGGTCATGATCCTGGAGTCCCGGGATCGAGTCCCGCATCGGGCTCTCTGCTCGGCAAGGGTTCTGCTTCTCCCTCTGACCCTCTTCTCTCTTGTGCTCTCTGTCTCTCATTCTCTCTCTCTCAAATAAATAAATAAAAATCTTTAAAAAAAAAAAAAAAAGGTGTCCCTCCCTCCACTCTCTTGGGCATTGGTGCTAATTTTCTGCATTAGAAACTTTATCCTCAGGGCGCCTGGGTGGCTCAGTCATTAAGCATCTGCCTTCGGCTCAGGTCATGATCCCAGGGTCCTGGGATCGAGCCCCATGTCGGGCTCTCTGCTCCGCGGGAGGCCTGCTTCTCCCTCTCCTACTCCCCCTGCTTGTGTTCCCTTTCTGGCTGTCTTTCTCTCTGTCAAGTAAATAAAACCTTAAAAAAAAAAAAAAGAAAAGAAACTTTATCCTCATGCGGAGGCCCATAGGGTCCCAAAATGATCCAAGGGTAGAGCCTGTGGCGGTGGAGAACATGCAGAGGAGCAGGAGAATTGGGTTGGGGAGGGTTGCACACTCACTGAGAGGGACATCACAGGTGAAAGGAAAACTCAGGGGTGCAGGAAAAGGAATGGGGTGTCAAGAGCACTAAAATCCAATCTAAATCATATTAATTCTGAACAGATATTTAACCTTCTGTGAAATTTCCACGGATAAAACATGGTAAAAGTTGGGCACGTCGTCCTGTTTCCTGGTCTGTGCATACAAGCTGTTAGTACCTTGTCTAATTATGGTGAAAGCAAGTGTCATGGTCTCTGCTTCAGTCTTTTTGAAGAATTAAACAAGAACAAAGAAGAATGTTCTACTTCAAAACCAAAAAATAAAAAATTTTTAAAGTTTTAATTTGGGGGAAGAAAGGTAAGGAAGGCAAGTCCTAAGAATCTATGTCAGCGTTTCCCCCAGTTGAGCCTTGCCCGGGCTCATTTCCCTGCACACACTGTCCCTGAGCATGACCCTCACAACAGGCTAGGCAGGTCAGTTCCCAGAGACCCAGGCTTAACTCTGCTGTACACAGAGGGAAAAAAATAACATCTTTCCAGAGCCCATGTGAAGGCAAACAGAAGGGTTTCACTGTGCCGTGTCTGGGACAGCTGACTTCACTGGACATCATGGTGGGGAACAGAGACACAGCCCAGAGTGGATCAGTTAGGGAAGGGCTTTGGATACCCGCTCAAAGAGCTGGATTTGCTTAATGAGGGAACCAGTGGAAGTCAATGGAAACAAGGAATGGAGGTGCCCAGGGAGGCCTCTGTAGCAGGCTTCTCCCACTCCTGGGGTGCCACGGCCAGGGAGTTGGGGGCAACTGCTGACTGCTTGCCTTGTTGGAAGTGGGGGCTGCCTCCACGCTCCAAACTGCTTCATGCTCCAGTCTGCTGGGCAGAGAAAGGAACTCAGCCCAAGCCCAGCCTGTCAGCTGCCCCGGACAGTCTGGAGGAGACAGGTAAGAATTGGAGAACACATTCATTTATTCATTCCTTCAGGAAATATTTGATATTTCCTGGTTCTCTGATATACCAGGTTCCTTAGCAGCCAGATACAACGCTGTCAATGAGGTAGACACTCTATCTTCCAGAATCACCTCACCAGACCTTTGGAAGTACCAGCACCAGTTGGGCAGCACCACCCAGCTCCAACACCCCCAAGATGTGACCCAGATTTGCAGGGCCTCTCTTCCAAGTCTTGACTAATCCAACCTTTTTGCTGTGTTCCCCCAACCCCATGTGGAGTATCTGTCCCCTGCACTTACTGTGTTAGATACCTTACTGTCTACCTCCCATTGACTCACACAGCCTGATCTCTGCTCTAGCCACTGGAGAATGAATTTGAAGTAGGTGTATAAAAGGTAATACCTCCAAGCCTATAGATCTCCTCTCAGGTATAGAACACCCTCCTGGTTTGGTTCAGCCTTTCATATGTCTATTGAGAAGCCAGTTTTCCCTCCTGTATATGAAATACTAGGACTCTCCATATGGTTTCTATACTTCCTCACTGGAACATTTTAACTAATTGACATAATTTCTCAGTGGACACTTCCTTGCTGAAGATTACTAACCATTCCTATAGGCAAGATCCATATTCTCACAACCCAAAGAAGGCCAAAGCCATAGATCACCCCCCTCCACAGATATCTGTTGTGGTTCTTCAGTCTAAGGTGGCAGATGGGTGCCTGCAGCCAAAACAGGAGCTGGATCCCTCCAGCCTCCTGACCCCACTTCACATACCCCTGGGCACCTCTTCTCAGCCTCTCCTGTGAAGGGACTACCCTACCAGCCAGTGCAGGAACAGCCTGGGGAATCCTGGGACCCTCGGCTGGAGTGTGCCCATTTCACTGCTGACCTCATCACACGCAATTCTCTGCTTTCCCTATTTTAGCTCCAGCCTCATAGTCCTGGTACTCATCCTTGGCTGGCTTCCTGGCAGACAGTGAGGACTGAGCAATCATTACTCGTGGAGAACACAGGACCCTAGGAAGTAACCTAAGTCCCTATGGTAGGGGTCATGCCTCCAAGGGTGAACTTTGTGCAGCCCTGGTCTGGCAGATGGAGGATGTGGCTCAGATATGCTCTGTGGATTTGGCCATTCTTTTGGCACCTCTGGAGATTTTGCAGAAGTTTGAGATACACTGAGTATTGCAAGGGTTTCCTGGGAGGCCCAATGGACACTGCTATCACAGGTTAGGTGATGTGCATAGAGATTCAGCGCATGGAGCTGGATTTTGAATGTGGGTCGTGTCAATTCCAAAACCTTTAATTACTTCAGTGTTTCACTCCCACAACCTGTCTGGTCAACACTTTCTGTGGAACCTCAGGACACACACCTTCTACTGCATGTTAGTACCATCAGACTAGTCTTGTGGTGCCAGAGACCTGCCCCCCACCCCCCGAGTATGCAGACACAGCTTAGGAGTCCTGTCACACCTACTACCACCAACTCTCCCAGATGTGCCACAGTGCCTGGGGCACCAGAGTAAGAGCTAGGTAGTACAGTAGAGATTAGACATGGCGCCTAAGAAGCTTTTACAGCCTCAAGGTGGAAAAGGCTAAAGGAGAGATCTCACCTGTTACAAGCATGCTTACTGAAGCTTAAGCTTACCTCTTACCATCAAGGTATTATCCATTGGAGGGCATCCATGCTTAGCAACAAGCATTGTCCATTGGAATCCCTGGTTGGATTGGCTTTAGGGTCAAGACTTTATACTCTGATACAGGAAGCAGTAACATATCCCATGTGGGCTGCCTTACTCACTGTGGTTTCTGGGGTTGGCCAAGGACGATGGGGCCTCATACACTCACCCACAGTCTCCCTCTCCTTGGCTTCCTAGCCTCTGCTAAAAGCGGGGCTCTCAATCATTTTACCTGTATTTTCCTTCTTTTTCAACTGACAAGCCACCTGACATGTCCAAAGGGGGTCTTCTCAGTAGAGATGTGCCCCACACCCGCTTTCCCCCGGGTAGTGTCTTCTGATAGATCACCCCTCTGCCCATGCTGAACTAGCTCCCATATACCTGTTCAGAAAACTTTATCAGTCTATACTAAGATCAGACACTCTTCCTTGGGTGACAAAAAGGCACCACAAATGCCCCAAGACAGACTGGTTCATACATGACCCTGCTCAGAACTATCATGGAATGAGCCTTTTGAGGAGACGACCAGAGGGAACCGTGAAGCCTACATATGGAACTGAGCTGTCTCAACCTGACACCTGCACACCAATTCACTAGCTCTCTGTTCCCAATTCAGGGCAAGACACAACTACAAGGTCACATCTATGATGTCACAGGCAGTGACAAACTCTCATCCCTGATCCTTCCTACCTCTCCCATTTCCAGCCTGAGACTCTGATTCTCACCATTTTCCTAAAATAATTGGGTTCCTTTGAAGGCTCCATGGTCTGAATGCGACTTCTGACTCTTCTCTTGGGAAAATCTCTGTGCACGGGCTTTGTGGGCTCCAAGAGAAGCTCTGCAAGTCCTCACAGAACTGCAGAATTGCTGGCTCTTCTTGGGAGCACACACACCATCACCTGGCAAAAATACCTTACCTCCCCCAGGCAGATCATCATATGGGCCCAGGGAAGAAAGGTATAGGTAGAGACATTGCTGGAGAGCCAGAGCTAAAAACGTAAATGAGGAGTGCCGTATGTGTGGCAGGGCAGAACAGAAGAGTCAGGAACCCAGGGTCACAATGGACAGTGGCAGAGAGCACTTCAGAGTCCTGTCTGCTCAGGGCAGTGCAGGGAGAGCCGTGGCAGCCCCCATGCAGAGCCCTGTGGCTCTGACACCTTGCCGCACTGCTCTCAGCCCCCAGCTGGTCTCACTCTGGCCCTCTCCTGAGCAGAAAATCAGTTACATTAGTCTGTTTGAGGGAGGGGTGTGACCCAGACACTGAGGACACAGCCAAAGTTCCCAGAGCTTGCTGGACACTGCAATTCCTGCACCATAGAGCAGGCCTGTTTAAGAGGCAGAAGATTCTCCCCACAGAGCTTGCTCAGGTGAATACACCTGCAGAACAGAACATTTTGGTTTACTTACAGGGAACAACTATTGCCCTTCCTTCATCCTTGGGGACAAGGACCTACTGAAAGTTCAGTGACTGTGAGGGTCCAACCTCACTCTCCACCCACCATCCTTCCTGCACGGTGGGGAGACAGCCTGACCTCGTGGGAAAGCTAGCACCAATGCCCATCAGGAAAATAAACAAGCGCTTAAGCAGCAGCAGAAAAATCAAGTTTCTCCACTTTCAGGCCCTCCACAACCTGGTCTCACTTTCTCTTTACATACTCCCCTTCTCACCATACCTTGGTCTCCCAGGTTCTCACTCCAAATCCTGCACCAAGGTCATTGCCTTCTCAGGGCTTTCTGGATGACATGCCCTCACCCAGGGTTGGATGTCCCTGTGCAGAATGGTCAGGAATTGCTTCAGCTCCAGAATCTTCTTTGATGCATCTTGGGCGCTGCCATCCACAGCAGGCCTCCCAGAGCTGACTGAAGACCTCATGAGGCTGAGCACTTGCTGGTAACTGCAGTCTGAAGAGCTGGGAGGACATCTTCAACTTGCCAAACCCTTAAAGAGGTCAGGATCTGCCATCAGCCGCCTGAGAGAATGTGAGCAATAAAGAGGAATTCACCCCCAACAGATGCTGAACAGTTCCTACAACTTTGAAGATCACCTCCAGGTAGGCCTCTCCAATAAAAACTGCGCTCTGGAAAGAGAAAGTGGTGAATGTGAGGCTTCATATCTACTTCATTTTCATTAAGTGTAGGAAAAAAAGTACAGATCTCTTCAGGGGGCATAAGACAGAGTGACACCTAATGGAAATAGCACTGCCTTGGACCACAGGTGGATCTGGTTTCCAGTCCCTGCTTCACTCCACACTAACGGATTTGGGCCAAATTATGCATCTTCTCTAAGTCTCTTTTTCATATCTGAGGATAACAGTACCTATATTGCACGAATGAGAAAAAGATTAGAAATGCTATTTGTAAAGCCTCTAGTTCTGCGCTTGGCAATTAGAAGGTGCAGAGTAAAGGGTGTGTGGTAGTAAGAGAAACTCCATCTTACAGGAATTTCTTCATGGCGTATCTCACCACCTGATATGTATTTATAGATTCAATGTGATTCCCCTGCAAAAATGTAAGCCTCTTGGGAGAGCAGGAATTGGTTTGGTCATGATGGAATCATAGCACCTCCAATACTGTTTGGTGCATTTAACTATTTGGCAAATGAATGAATGGGTGATAAAATACAAGGAAGACGGGGCGCCTGGGTGGCTCAGTCGGTTAAGCGTCTGCCTTCAGCTCAGGTCATGATCCCGGGGTCCTGGGATCGAGCCCCATGTCGGGTTCCCTGCTCGGCAGGAAGCCTGCTTCTCCCTCTCCCCCTGCTTGTTCCCTCTCTCGCTGTGTCTCTGTCAAATAAATAAAAAATAAAATCTTAAAAAAAAAGTAAAATAAAATACAAGGAAGACTGGGGTCATCAGATCTGATTAATTGCCTAATTGTCAAGTACTTAGGCATTGGGGCGCCTGGGTGGCTCAGTTGGTTAAGCGGCTGCCTTCGGCTCAGGTCATGATCCCGGGGTCCTGGGATCGAGCCCCATGTCGGGCTCCCTGCTCAGTGGAGTCTGTTTCTCCCTCTCCCTCTGCCTGCCTCTCTGACTACTTGTGCTCTCACTCTCTCTCTCTGTCAAATAAATAAATAAAATCTTAAAAAAAAAAAAGTACTTAGCATTATAAAGAATACAAAAGGAGACAAAACTGAACAGGTCTGTTTGAGATGTCTCTGACATCTGTCTTCCCTCCATTTCCACTACTAACATTCTAAACAGGATTGCTGAACCTCAGCACTACTGACATCTTGGTCCAGACAGGGATTTATTGTGGATGGGTGGGTTGGGGGGTGGGGGGGAGGAGATGCTGTTCTGTGCATTATAGGAGACGGTGCAGCCACACCGCTGGCCTCCATCCACTAGATGTCATGAGCAACCCTGAGGTGTGACCACAAAATTGGCTCCATTGTTACCAAATCCTTTTGGGGGCAAAATCGTCCTTGGTTGGAAACCCTTGTCTAGGGACAAGTCATTAGACCAGGCTGGTATAAAAGTCTTCATCTCTCCACCTAGTCTTCCTACAGAGCAGATCTGGACTTCCTCGCTTTCCATATATCTAATCCAATTGTCTAACTAGTCTCTTCCAAAGCCCTGGAGACTTCCTGTTGCCACTGAAATAAGCCAAGATCTCCAAGCTTACAAGGCTGTCTTCAGCATTCAGACCCAATCTACCACTCCAGCTTCAGTGCCCACTCCTCCATGTATATTCTCCAACCAGCACAGGCGATCCAGTCTCAGGTGCTGGAACAAACAGGCTCTGGGATTTCAAGCCTTAGTGCCTTGACCCACTGACTTCTGCCTAAACTACTCTTCTCAGGGTCCGATTCACTGAACACAAGGGGCTGCAGGTCTCCGTCCCTCCCAACCAGGGGAGGAAGGGCACCTGAGCCTAGAAATGTAAAAAGATGGATACTTTTATGTCCTCAAGGAGAGCACCATCGAAAGGCAAGCACCCCACAGGATGAGTACTGGCACCAGCACCACCACCACCACCTTCTTGAAGCCTCCGAATGCTCTGAACTCCTCGGCCCTGTCTCTTACTCACTCTCAAAGCGCCTTATCCTAACTCCACCTAATACCAGGATGTTTCTGGTGGGTTTTGATCACCTGTTTGGGAGCTCTCTGAGGGCAAGGGGAGTGTCTGAGTGCTCTTCTGAGGCAATAGCCCTCAGGGAACAAGTGCTTCATCGGCGTAAATCGCAAGGGCAAGAGGTTCGTAACCTTTCAAAGGTCTCTCCAGGGGGAAATGAACGGACGGGTGCCCCGAAGGGAGACGGGTGGCGCGCTGGCCACCTCCTCCCCACAGGGGCGAGGTCCCGGCACACGGCCCCTCGGTGTCTTCGCGTCCCGGGAGGGTAGAGGGCGGAGCCGCAGCACTCAGGACCTTCCCAACAGGAAAGGTCGGCTTCACGGGCGTCACTCACTAGCCTCACCGTCTTTTCCAATGCGGTGGGCCGGAAATAGCCGCGGGGTATGCCGGGACGCCCAGAAGGACGGACGCTTGCGCCAGGCTCAGCCGGAAACGAGCTGGGCGGAGCACGCAAGCGATGCCTAAAGGACCTTTCTGTTTCTCTGGTTTCTTCCTTCGCTAATCGACAGCCCTCATAACCAGTGAATCGACAGGATCTTCTTGGCGTCATACCCTAGGGCCAATCAGGGTAGTTAAGAAAACGGGGGCCCGGGCTATGGCGTTTGTTAACTCTCTCCTATTGGTTACTGCTCTTCTCTTGGCCAGGCGCTTCCGCCTCTTGACTTGAATGGGTTCTCTTTCCAGCCCTGGTGTTGCTCAGAGGGTTTTACGGATCTGACAGCGGCAGTAGTCAGACCGGCACGCTGTTGGTGTGCTAGGCACAGTTGTAAACACGTCCATACTACGTAATCCTGACAACAATCCTATAAAGTCAGTAGTATTACCTTTTTCATCCTCCAGAAGTAGAAACCAAGACCGTTTTTAAGTGACTGCCACGACAGAAGTAGGGCTAGAACTAGCTTCCAATCCCGTGTTTTCTTCCGTTTCATTTTTCAAAAATTCCGTGAGTACCGCAAATCATTCTCATATTAAAAGGAATTCTCTCGATTCCTATTTCCCAAGCTGCACTCTCTTTACAGAGGAAATAACTGTTACTTGTGTGTATATCTTTTTGTACCTTCATATGCAATTTTGCCTATTTATCTCAATTTTTCTGTTTCAGTATAATGACTTCATTTTTTTAAAAGCTTCTGCGTTTAGTCATGTACCAGAATATATTCAATCCTCAATCATTTCTTCTTTGATATATAGCAAAACACTTTCCTAATTTTCACGTATGTTTTTGTATTATTCTAGATTGGGATATTCTGGATTTGTTTTGAAGAGGGAGCTGATGGATTGGGATGTTGAGTGTGAGGGTAAGAATAGGGATCTGTCAGTGTTTTCTGGCCCCTTTATCCATTCATCATTTATGAAGACAGTAGTTAACACAGTGAAGGAGTAGCCCTCCATCAAGATATAAACGGAGGGAGGTGGGATATGAAATAGACTAATAAACCTCCCTTGGAAAACATTCCACTTTGATTAAAAATAACATGAACGGTTTTCACTAAACACTCCCACATACGTTATCTATTTGATCCTTACCATGTTCCTGCTGGCTATTCTATTCATTTTACATATGATGAAAGGGAGTGCTGGAGAGATCAGATCCATTGGTTACCATATCTCATTTGCACAGTATACCAAAATGCCCAAGGCTCTTGGCACCTAGTGTCATGAACTTTTTACGGTTTCTTGATGCCTCTCTATTCACAGGACAGTGTAACTGGACCACTACACTAACAGGAGGGAGAGACATAAGAGTCTGATTTGGTGTGGGGGGGGAAACAATGGCATAGCAGCGCTTCTCTGTAACCCCAGTTACGTGTCTCCTCAGCCTCCTAAAATCTTCTTTGGTGCACCCTTAAGGTCCTTGTTCCTTAGGCTGTGGATGAGAGAGTGGAGTATGGGTGTAACTATGTTAAGAACAGGATAAAGATAAGGAAATTGGTCTGACCAAGTAGCTATTCTAGGTGAGATTTAGTCAGAGGTAACTATCCCAAAGAGAATTCCTGCACCACCAGGTGGGACCCTTGGGTTCCTAAGCCTTTGCTTCTCTCTGTCCATGGCTTAGTAGATCCTTGGCCAACTTCTGTAATGTAGATATAGTTAACAAGGACACAAGGACCAAACCCATGGAGAAAGGAAGTATGATTGTAGGAAGATGACTGTGGTCACAAAGACATTGAACTTTTGAAATGTTTATGGACACATGTAACTTTATCTAGGCAGGCACCTCATAAAGGAAGTGGTCAACTGTCCCTCTGCTTTTCACAGAGGGACAGCTGTAATGTGGCAGGCATGTGAACTAGGGAGTTCTCAAAAACATTACGCAGGGCCGGAGTTGCCAACTTCAAGCAGTTTTATCACTGCTTGACCACAGCATGGTGGAAAGCCAACAGATGACAATGTGTGGCCAAGGTTATCACTGCTAAGAGAATGGTCTCAGTGGAGTTGAGGGCCAGGACCAAAAAAAAGGAAAAAAAAAAATCAACTATAATCTTATGGCATATTTGTGTATGTCTCCAAGTTTCCTAGCTTTCTGGGATTACCGTATTTTTTATTATCCAAATAATGACATGAGGCTTCTTCTTGCATGGCTGTAGGATGTTTTTGTTTCACATTTTTCTGCAACTTTTCACTAGACATCTCATTTGTGATACACATCCACGTTGATGCATGTAGCTCTATGTTATTTTTATTGCTGTATAGTATTCCACTGTACGACTACCGTATTCATTCATCTATTCTTCTGTTAGTGAACATTTGGGCTATTTCAGTCTTCTATTACAAACAATGCTGTTGTGAGCATTATATGTAAATAGATGTATTTTTTAAAAGATTTTATTTATTTGACAGAGAGAGACACAGTGAGAGAGGGAACACAAGCAGGGGGAGTGGGAGAGGGAGAAGCAGGCTTCCCGCCAAACAGGGAGCCCGATGCAGGGCTTGATCCCAGGACCCTGGGATCATGACCTGAGCCGAAGGCAGACACTTAACGACTAAGCCACCCAGGCGCCCAAATAGATGTATTTTTAAAAGACTTTTGGGGCGCCTGGGTGGCTGAGATTGTTAAGAATCTGCCTTCGGCTAGGGTCATGATCCCAAGGTCCTAGGATCAAGCCCTGCGTTTCGGGCTCCCTGCTCAGTGGGGAGCCTGCTTCTGCCTCTCCTTGTGCTTTCTCGCTCTGTCAAATAAATAAATAAAATCTTTAAAAAAAATAAAAAAAAATAAAAGACTTTCTCCAGAATATGCCACAGGGAAATAAGTCATTGGTATGCACATCCTCAAATTTACTAAATAATGCCAAATACCGCAGGCAGTATTTAAAAATTCCTGGTGTTTTGGGGCACCTGGGTGGCTCAGTCAGTTAAGTGTCTGCCTTTGGCTCAGGTCATGATCCCAGGGTCCTGGGATCCAGCCCTGCATCAGGCTCCTTGTTCAGTGGGGAGACTGCTTCTCCCTCTCCCTCTGCCCCTCCTCCCTGCTCTCTCTCTCTCAAATAAATAAAATCTTAAAAATAAATAAATAAAAGTTCCTGGTGTTTCATATCATTATCATCTCTTGGCACTGTCAGTCTTTTAAATTACTACCAATCAGAAGGAATAAGATAATATTTCATGTGGCTTTAATTTGAATCCGATTCCTAATGAAATTTGGTATGTTTTGATAGATGATTAACAAATTGTTTCTTACAATTAGAAATTTAGACCTCAAGTATTTCTCAGATTCTCTAGGAATGCCTTTTCCTGGTTGTCATTTGTCATTTTGTTCTCTGTACAGCTCTGAGTCTTTCCACCTTTCACAACTGGCCCTTTGTTAACTGTTTCTCCACGCTGCTTCCACTCTTTCTTGTCTGCTTCTCGCTGCATGCAAAGCTTGGGGCACAGTACTCTTGTTTTTCAAAACAGGGTTCATATGAGGCTTCCCTGGTGCCTGAGAATAATGGAACTGTAGCACAGAAAACTAAAATCAAAATCAGGTAGTACTCCCTTTTCATTATTGGACATGGCTTTTACAGGGGTTCACCCACTGATTGTCTTTTTAGTTTTTGCCTGACATCATGTTTATGGCATCTGAGCATCTTCTGTATTAAAAGCCTCCTTTTTTAAATTTAATGTCTTCACTCTCCTTGTCTCGATCTACTTCTCCCACCAGAAAAACAAAAGGAGTTAATATTATACTGTCTTTGAGATGTATATTACCTTACCAGTAGTAATGGAGACACTTGGTGTCCAGAAAGGGGCTTCTAAATACCATTTGAGAGAAATGGGTGGGCTGGGGCAGGGATAATACAAGATGAGCATGGAATATCCTGTGGTGCTAGAAAGCAAAAAAGTGCTGAAAGAATATAGGGAAAAGTCAGAAAAAACAAAAGTTTGAATAGGCTCTCAATGATCAAATAGCAAACAATATTAACAGATTATAAACCATTGGATAAAATAGGAAACCTTGATTCTGTAACATGTAAATAAATGAATAAATTGAGTTTCGTTAGTAATAGGATATTTACCTAGTTTCAAATTACTTCCCCATTAAAGTTAATTAGAAAATAAATAAAAATAGATGAAATACAGGAAAAGCCTAGTAGACGCCACCTTCACTTAGTGATCCAAGTAATATCATTAACAGTGGGACAAATTGGGGGTGCCTGGGTGGCTCAGTCGGTTAAGCGTCTGCCTTCAGCTCAGGTCATGATCTCAGAGTCCTGGGATCGAGCCCCGCATCGGGCTCCCTGCTCTGCAGGAAGCCTGCTTCTCCCTCTGCCCTTCACCCTGCTTGTGTTCCCTCTCTCACTGTCTCTCTCTCTGTCAATTTAATAAATGAATAAAATCTTTAAAAAAAAAAACAACAATGGGACAAATTGAAATATACATCACCTGTCTTTGTCTGCTCAGGCTGCCATAACAAAATACCATAGAGTGGGTGACTTCAACAGGTAAGTATTTTCCCACGTTTCTGTAGGCTGGAAAGTAAAAGATAAATGTTGTGGGAGGATTCAGTTTATGGTGAGAGCTCTTTCCTGGCTGGCAGATGAACACTTTGTTCACACATGGCATTTTCTCTGAGTGGGTGTAGAGAAAGAGCTCTCCTTTTCTTCCCTTTTTTTTATAAGGTCACCAATTTTATTGTATTAGGTGCCTACCAAACCCTAATTAACTCCTAAAGGCCATATATTCAAATATAATCACACTGGGGACTAGGGCTTCAGTGAATTGGGGGGGCGGGGAGGGGAACAGCACAATTTAGTCCATAGCAACATCTGATAGGATACAATGAGAAGGCAACATCACTGCTGTGGTATTCCTGCCAGAGAGGCAAGACTTGAATTAAGAGGAAGCATAAAACCCAAACTGAGGGATGTTCAATAAAATAACTGGCTAATGATCTTCAAAGTGTCAGAATTATGAATGCCAACAAAAGACTGAGGAACCATGTCAGACTGACAAAGATGTGACCGGGCGCCTGGTTGGCTCAGTCAGAAGAGCATGCGATTGTGAGTTGTGAGTTCAATCCCCATGTTGGGTGTACAGATTATGTAAAAAGAAAATATTAAAAAAATGAGATGTGACAACTAAATGCATGTATAAATCTTAAAATCTTCTTGCTATGAAAAACTTTACTGGGACAACTGGCAAAAGCTGAATGGAGTTTGAGGATTAGCTATCATGTGTTAATGTTCATTTAGTAATTTTGATGGCTATATTGTGGTCCCAAAGGGGAATGTTCCTGTTTTTTGGAGATACACACGATATTTGGAGGACAGAGTATCAAGTTGTCAATGTATTCTCAAATGATTCAGAGGGGAAAAGTCCTTTGTATTATGCTTTCAATTTTTCTGTAACTTCTTCATTATTTCAAAAAAGGAAAAACTGTTTTTTGAAAAAAGCACAACCTTCACAGTCAAGAGTATTTGGGTTTGATTCCCAGGCCTCCACTATGTACTCTTGAGCAAGTTTCCTCCTGTGCTCCAATGTGCTCATCTTAAAATGGGAACAGTATAGGTTGTTGTGAGGAGTAAATGAATTGATTCTGAGAAAGAGGTTAGATAATTACCTAACACATGGTAAGTACTAATAAAGTTAGCTATGGGTAATATAGTCAAATAAACTGGACCTCTTCACCAAATGTTTAATGGAGCTTGCAAATCATTCTGTAATTTAGAGCCCATATGCTAGAGCATAAGCTCACCAAGCCAAACTCACTTTTCAATTCCTATTTCTCACCAACTCCTTTATTGTGACATCTCCTAACCATGGCAATGGAATTGAACTTCAGGACTGTGAAGACAGGAAAATAATTGACTCCCTGCATTGGCAGGTTCAAAATTTGGTCCTTTGATTCAGGTATTCATACAGACTTCACTACATTATGAGGCACATTATGGTTCTAGATAGACTCTATGAAAGGCTCTATATGGTGTGCCCTTCAATTCATTTAAATCCACTGACCAGACTAGCATATTTATATGCTGGGCATCTTTCATTTACTTAGATTCTGGAAACTTAAAATTGGTCTGGTTGTTTTTTTCATTTTTCAAATTTCCAACTAAGACACCAAACATACTTTTCTTCTGGAACTCTGGAAATAGAACTTCAAAGCCCTTCATGTCAAAGAATGAAGGGCTTTGCCTCATATTTAATTGCATCTTTCCCAGTTTTTGACTTTGTGTCACTGACAAAGTGATTCACTACTGGGAATGGAATATGAACACATGTGCCATCTGATGTTTAGGATGATCCCCGTGATGCTTTCACGTCCCAAAGCAGTCAGTCAGTCTCCTCCCTCCTGAATTGTTCAGAATATTGAGAAAAGCAGCCAAGACTTGCTTCTGAAAGACAATCCCAGATGTTGTAATTGCCCACCTTTGCCCGGTTTTCTGCCAATTCCTCCCCTAATTTCACAATACTCCACAAGTAGTCACTTGTGGATTAGCTATCGCATCACGAATTGGGGTTGGCTGCCTCCTATCACGAAAATTGGTCCTGAGCTGCAAGCACTCCCCATTTGTGACTTTGTGTTCTCAGTATTCTTTGTAGCCTGAGCAATAAAGAAAAATGAAAATTAAAAAAAAAAAAGTGTAATCCTAAATTTTTGATCCTGGTAGAGAGGACTAGATGTGTTTTTGTGTTTTAAGTGTTTAATTTTTTTGGAAGATGGTTGAGAGTGATACTCTTTTGAGAGCTCAGTTTGTGCCTGACTATTTTGCATGGAATTTCTAACTTACTCTTTCCTGACTTGATCAGAATGGGAAATAGGGTTTTCAGTGTAGAATAACATTGAGGTAGTGGGGCAAGTAAACCACAAAACAAGCTTTGTTTAGAAGGATGAAGTCAGAGGAGAAATAAAATGAAAATGTCTCCAGTCAGAAAGATTAAGGTATTTGATCAAGGGAAGAGGAATTTTATCCCTGAATCTTAGAATAGGAACATTGGAGAGATTGTAAAAATGATACTGTAGAAGTGCCATTTAACTAAAAAATTAAGAATGGAAATACAAATTTTTTCCTTTAAGGAGGACAAGTAGCTATGATGCTGGCTAATGCTCCCTCACCATAAAGGATGAAGGAAACATTTAAGCATGTTTTCTGAACTCATCCCTGTAAGCCATTATTCCTTAAGCTACTAACATAATTTTTTTAAGAAATTCTTTCTAAACTGAAGCATATTTTTTATATTTGTGAATATTAAAGATCCTTCACTTTTTTTCTTCAAATGCTTTGACACTGTTCAGTTGTTTATACACAAAATGGACAAATTCTTAGTGTGAAAATTATGATTTTGGAAATCCATCCATTGGTCTAAAAAATTCAAAAGTAAGCATTCTTAAGTTTTCACTTAAAGGTGCAGAGTATCCAAATACTATAAAGCTTAATGTTGTTTTGATTTTTTAGAGGAAGGGGGGAGGGGCTGAGGGAGAGAGAGAATATTAAGCAGGCTCCATGCCCAATGTGGAGCCTGACACAGGGATCTATCTCACAACCCCGGGATCTTGATCTGAGCCAAAATCAAGAGTCAGAAGCATAACCAACTGAGCCACCCACTAACTTTCGTGTTAGTGTCAAGATCAGTGCAACTCCAAAGTCATCGTCCTACTGTGATGGAAGTGAGAAGCAACTCTGACAGTTTAGCTAAATCTGAAACGCAACGTGCTTGATCCCTCTCATGAGAGATGGGGTGACTGCTTTAAAGTGAAGTGCAGGGGTTCTCAGATGTGGTGGGTCGAGTGGGTCACAGGAGAAAAGCCTCAAAAACGTTGGACTGCAGAAAACATTTCACAATAGCCTGGTACCGCTGCGCACTGGGGAATTCACACATGCAGGAAACGCTGCACATAAGCCACACGGCAGACGCTTCAAGAGTACTCCAGCCTTGCTCCCCACTAAACCCACACAAGAAAGAAATGATAAAGGTGACAAACGTGGACAAGATTTAGTAAAAATAATACACTTTTGTCCAAATACGTTTTGCAAACAACCCTGGAAACACAAAGTGTGGACAAAGGCTCAGCCTTCCTACTTGAGAGCACTCCAGAGACTCCATTCAGGTGAGAACCCACAGACGCAATGTGAGCCCTTCAGCAAAGAATCCACTCTAAGCAATAGAGGGTAAAACCCAGAGAGGAAAGTAACAGGCAGTCTTGACCCATTATGTCAGAGTGCAACTGGCCATGAAATGCAGAGGGTGGTCAGGAAACTCCTGTCTGTGGAGTGACTCAGATTAATGTTTAGAAAATCCTTTACGGAATTCCAACCTTCTGTGTTATCCCAACTGTCCAGCTGGATCGAAAAGGCTGCTTAGCATTCCTGCTCTCAAGCTCTCCAGGGGAATTAAGACACTCTTCTCATGGTTCCAAAAGTTGATCAACCCTAGCACTTTTAGTTTGATTCCAAGCTCTCCTCCCGTGCTTCCCCTCCAGCTAAGACAGTGGAGGTTCTCAAGATAAGCTTGAGGTTCCAGACGCAGTCTGCTTAAGGGTGGGGAGAACTCTGGGTCTGGCACAGTTCCCACACTGTGGCCACTTAGCACAGTGCAGAGAGGATTTCAGGGTTACACTGGTCACTGTTCCAGTTCTCGGAACCAAGCCTGGAGCCACTGTAAGGCTGTTACCTGAACCACCTGAAATGAAGCACCTTCTGGTTTGTCCTAGAATCATTTGGTTATAAAAGACATTTCTGAGAACTTTAATACTAACGTTTCAGGCTAAACTTGTGTGTTGTACTTCATCTCTAAACCAAGCCTAAATAGGGGTGCCTGAGTGGCTCAGTAGGTTAAGCGGCTACCTTCGGCTCAGGTCATGATCCCAGGGTCCTGGCATCCAGCCCCACATCGGGCTCCCGGCTCCCTGCTCAGCAGGCAGTCTGCTTCTCCCTTGGCCCCTTCCCCCATTCATGCTTGCACTCTCGCACTCTCTCTCTCTGAAATAATACGATCTTTAACAAAAAAGAAACCAAGCCTGAATAGATTTTATGTTGCATTTTTGGTAGTCTGCTCTCATCCCTTTGACAGGCTACAGAAATTCCTTCTTCCAATGTCCACGTCTACCCCCAAATTTCCAAGCATGAGTTGTGGAACATTGTACTGCTGGTTCTTGGCTATGCAGACATTCCCAACAGAGGCTTCTCACTCCTCAACTGCAATGTCCTGCTCCTGCTTTCCTGCATGACCTTCCTCCCAACTACCACCTCTCAGTCCAAGAGGGCAGTCCCCTTCCTCTCTACACTGATCAGGACAAATCTGCTTCTGCCCTATGTCCTGTTTCTGAGGCCAACTCGCAGAAGGTATGAGAGGGGTAGTTAACAAATGAATGCTTAAAGTCTACTGCACTCACAGGAGGAAAAGAAAGGTAACCCCTACCCTCTCTGTAGCCCACTGATCAACAGAAACACATCTTTATGTACAAAAGCAGTGGAGCACAGAGGGAGAGCAAGAGAAGGGGAATGAAGCCAGAGAGGGAGGGATGGTTGCTTTGTCCACTTGAAAAACTAACCAACCTGGACTTGTCTCAGGTAAAAAAATCTATCCTTCTTTCCTATCACCTAGTCTTGTAAGCTCCTCAGTGTGCCTATCAGTGTTACATGAGCTCAGTGGAGCATCTACAGGAAGGCAGATCTCTTCTGAGGGCCAAAGTCCACGCGGACTGACACAGAAAGGGTTCCAGAGCTCTAGTAGAATAGCTGTGTCTATGTAGACAGGCCAGGTTATGCTGCAGAAACACACGACACCAATATCTCAATAGTTTAACAGAAGTTTATTTCTCATTCCCATAAAGTCCATCACAGGTTTGGGGGACTTTCCAGGACAACTGCTCTCCATGGAGGGGGGAGGTGGGGAGGAGGGCTCAGCATTCCAGACTACTTTGACCTTGTGGCCCCAGTTTCTGCTGGACTTTCATGACTGAGGCAGGAAGGACACCACAGAGTCCTGCACAAACAAAGGCTTCAGCCCAGAAGTGGGGCTTCTGCTCACAACCCATTACCTTCAACTATCTCATGAGACCCTAAACTGCAAGCAGAAAACTATAACCAGTCTTCTTTATACTCTTCACTAGACTGTAAGTCCTGTGAGGGTCTATCTTTAGCTCTTTTATTCACCACTATATTCTCAGTCTAGACGAAACAGCTCCTGGGCACGTAAGAGGCCCCCATGAAATTGAATGAATGTAGCACCAGGAAGTTGTCCGCATGTATCCTGGGATGAGACAGAGTACCCGAAGCCTAAGGATGAGGGTGATGGGTAAAAGCTATGCAGACGAAAGCTTTTAAAGTTGGCTCTGCCTAAGAAGTAATACTTGGTATTGTTCATCTTGGGGAGGAAAACAAAATCCTGCTGAAAGCACCAGATCCACAGCTCAGGTGACTTACACCATAAAGTACTGAGGCCAAGGACCAAATCAACTGAGCAACATCACCACCAGCAGTGCACAACTCCTGAAAGGAGCTGAAAATAGCCATAAACACAACTGCTTCCTTACTGCAGTCAGTCTGCCCAGCACATCACTGGGGAACAGGGGAAAGGGAAGCAAATGCACACTGATTGAGCATCTACCACTGGCCAGGCTGTGAGGTGCTTTTCATTCACCAATCCCTCTAGTCCCTAGAATAACCCTGAGTTGAAATAGTTTTCTCTCTTTCACAGAACACATGGAGACCTAAGTGTTTTGGGAACCCATCAAGCCACAAGAACGTTTTTAAGTTAGAAGTAGATATAACACAATGTCATTCAGCCTGGTCCTGCAGGGATAACGTACACATCCTGCTAACCCTGCCTTCAGACCTCCCTGATGCAGCTAGCTGGCAGCCAACGGACTGGACCCACTAGCAATAGGGTCTTGAACAAGTCCCGTATCTGAGCCTTAACTTCATCGTTTATAAGGTATTTGGGAGAAATCATTTAACCCCCTTCGACCCCCTTCTTGATACAACCTAAAAGCTCTAACAGGAACACATGTCCCTGCTGAAGGTAGGAGTTCTAAGAAGATCCACAGCCCGGAGAGATGTTCAGCCATCTATATCATTTATCAGCTAAGGTTGTTGTTAAATGCTGCGTACAAAACAGAGATAGGCAGACCCTGCCTGCTTAATAATAGTTTGCAGTGTAACACAACCAACATGAATGCAGATTCACCCATCCTTGTCCACCAGTGAACATCGGTTCCCAAACCTTTCCTCTTGGGAACCCAGTCTTCTGCCACATCCAGTGAACCACATCCTGCCTGCAGCACACACTCCAGTTCCTAAACTCTGCCCTTTTTCTTAAAAATAAACAAAGCCAAACAAAAAAGCAAATAAAAATGTGAGAAGTTCATCTGAACTTCCATTAATTTTCTTTTAGGCCTCAAGAAAGTGCTATCTTCTATGTTTTATCATACTGAGATTATAAGGCCTAGTTTCTTTTATTGCAAAAAATTCTTTACATGTAATACATAATCCATGGCTAAACATTCCAACCCGTTTTCATATGATCTCATTAGAGATGTTTATCTTTTTCAAACACCACCAATGAGGTATAAGATAGTGCATTTTTACTTTATCTGGCAGATTCCCTAGTGGTGAAGTAAATAGCATTTCATCACAGTAAAAATGGTGCTAAAAGGATTCAAGAGCTAAAGTTGCTAAAATATTCAAGAATGAACTCAAATGATGTCCAAACAGTGGGAACAGTGTCCAATGACAAGGGAAAGGAAGAAAATCCAATTTGGTTCTTGGAAAATTTGACAACAGAGCTCATTTTTGTGTCATAGGGCTCTTGAAATTGGTAAGCCTACTACCCTGAAGGCAATGGTATCCAATTAAACATGCAGGTTATTGCTTTTTCTTTTGGAAGACCAGGCTACAAATGTTTCTATCAATGTGTTTAAAAGTGGCTGGGAATTCAATGCAAAGCCAACAGTATTTACCCTCTGTGATCATAAAAGACTGATTCATGTATGCATCTGCCATTTAAAGCTGAATTTGCTATTTTGCCAGGTAGAGTTGCAAAAATGTTTCCCTTACTGAGAATGTTCTTTCAGCACCTTTCTTGCTAAGGAATTCCCCAAAGGTTACGTGTAAAAATGTAAGTAGTACAAAACTACTTACAGAGATCCCTGCAGAGTCAACCTTGATTCCTTTCTGTGAAATATGTTTGTATCAACAAATTTTCCTCCGGTGAAGTTATTTATACTTCATAATTTTGTTATTTTTTCATAAATCTCAGGGTCAACCTCTACTTTGTGAATTTCTTCAGAATGAGGACACTGGATAAACTTCCATTCAGCGGTGGAGTTTCTGGTGTCTAAGAAGACTTGACCTCCTGCTGAAGTTTCTCCTGCATACGCTACAAGTATATGGCTGCTCACCTGTGTGGGTTCTCCGATGTTTAATAAGGTGGGAGTTCTGACTGAATTTTTTCCCACATTCCTGACACGTAAAGGGCTTCTCTCCAGTGTGAGTTCTTTGGTGCGTATGTAGATTTGTATTTTGACTGAAGCTTTTCCCACACCAGGAACATTTGTATGGTTTTATTCCTTGGTGCGTTGTTAAGTGCTTATTAAGATCTGAACTCCATCTAAACCTCTTATCACACTGTTGACATTTATATGGTTTCTCTTCAGTGTGAATTCTTTGGTGCTTAATAAGGTCAGAGCTAACTTTGAAGCTTTTCCCACATTCCTGGCATTTAAATGGCTTCTCTCCAGCACGAGCTTTCTTGTGAAGATCCATAAGTTTTAGCAGCTCTTGTTTCCAGGTTGAAAGTTTCTTTCTTTTCTTCACGGGAAAATCTCGGTGCCACTTCCCCATCCTGTGTGTATCACCATGATTTTCTTTGCCTGTTGTTTTCTGGGGAACTTTCACTCGGGTCTTTTTTGATACTATGTCTCCTGGTGCTTGTATTTCTAAGTCAGAAAGACACACAGGCTGATGGTTTTCAGTGTCAGTTTTGACCTTTAACCCTGTGGGAATAAACATAACAATCAGCCAACTGTACCGCAAAGCAAAACTACAGGAATGGAGAGAAAAATCCAATGATTACTGATTCACAAAATAGAGATAAGCAGAATTTGAAATGCTAAGGTTGCTATCAAGGCACATTTGTCCTCTTCCCATGGTATATTTACCTGTAGGCAGCCCTCCAGGGCTGTTCTTGAACTCCAAGGGCCCTTGAATCCATGGCTCTTCCCCTTGCTCTAGATAGGAGATCACTTTAGGTTTGGGGAGCACAAATAATGCTGTGAAATGGGAAAAAGGAAGTCAAGGACTGGCAACTCAACAACTGTCCACCAACTCCACACTATTTCAGGAAGAGCAAAGGACAGTTTACAGTACATTACCCAATGGTCAAATGGGTGGACTCTCCTACCCAGTTTCAGGTTTATACTATACTGCATTTGTGGGTGGATACACAATGTGGAGATGGAGAAATAAACCTAAGCTGGACCCATGTAGAGGATAAAGGGCATGGGAATCCATCTACAGTGCCCCTCTTCTGCCACCAAGATTACCCTATATTTGAACAATGTTGAATCAAACCCCAGAGTTGGCAGGGAATACAGGTTAGTCCTATTAATTCCTTAGGATTAGCCCAAGTCTAGCAGAGCAAGGTGAAGGTCAGTGGGCTGCATGTCCTATGCACAGGTGATTCCTATCATGATTAACAGTGACTTCTTACTTAGCTCTTGAGCACCACACACTGGACTAGAAAAGATTTCTTACACTCCTTAAGTCACTGGTTTTGTCCAGGTGGAAGAAACAGACTAGAATTACTTAATGAAAATTTTCTAAATATACATCGCCAAGTTGGGGAAGTAGTCATCACTTGGTCTTTCAATCAGTATGTACTGACTGGCTATAATGTGCCAGGAACTCTCTTTGGGCTAATGATATAGGGGTGATTGAGCCAAAGCACCCTGATCTCATGGGATCTCACCTTCTGGTGGGATGAGACAACCAAACAGCAATAAATAAAGTTGTCAGCACATAATAAATATTTTGAAGAAAACTAAGGCAGGTTAACTCAGCATTTAAGATTCTGCTTCTCCGAAGTTATTTTAGATGAGGTAGTATGGAAGGCCTCTTTGAAAAACTGATATTGCAGCAGGAATGTAAAAGTGAGAGTTCTGCCATGTGGCAGAAAAGTGTGCCAGGTAGAGGAAAAGGCAAAGTAGAAATGACCATGGCAAGTTCAAGAAACAGAAACATCAGAGAGGCTCAAGAGGACTGAGCAAGGGCACAAGTGGCAGCAGATGAGGGCAGGGTGGTGAGTAGGGTCAGACCCTGAAGGACCCTAAGCACTTCAGTAAGGTGTGGATTTTATTCTGAATGTGATGAGAAGTCATCATAAGGTTTGAAATGGGAAATGTCACGATTTGACCAGTTTTTAAAAGCATCTGGCTGCTGTGTGGAAAACAGGGTGGGAGGGCACTAGTCAGAAAGTACCCAAGTCATTCTGGTTAGACATGCTGCTGGCTTAAGCCAGGACGCTAACAGCACACGGGGATGAGACATGGCTGCACTCAGGCTACACTGTGAAGGTGGAACCAAAAGGACAGTGACGCATTACAATGGGGTAGGACAGCAAGATCACAGTAAAGGATGACTGTACGTTCCTTCCTCTTAGCTACTGGGTGAATACTCTTTATTGAGAAGAGGGCTCTATGAGAACAGAGTTGGGGAAGGAGAAAAAAATAAATCAAGAAATCTACATAGCATATGGAGTGTGCACCTGGACAAAGCTGCTCAGGTGATCTGGATACACCTTTCCCCTGTCCACACACCATCTAGTTAAGAAGCAACCCGTTATTGGAACACAACCTCTCAGAGCACTACATTCCCAGTAAGCAGAGAACATGACAGATTACTCAACTTCCACCCAATGGGAGAGGGAAATTCTTTACCTAGAGAGATGACAGTCTCACAGTTTTCCCGCATTACATCATTGTAGAGGGCCTCCTGAGTGGGATCCAGTAACTCCCATTCTTCCTGGGAAAAATACATGGCCACTTCTTCAAATGTCAACAAGCTCTAAAGAAGACAATGGGCTTCAGCTCAGTACTCGCACTACAGAAACAACACTACCGTCTGGCCCATGAACTACATGGCAGGCCAGGCCAAATGAATTAATAGCAGATAATTTTTTAAGTGAGGAGAGAGAAAAGAAGGAGGCAAAAGGATCAGCAACAGAGTAGAAGATGCCTAGTTCCTAGAGAGAACACTGGCAACGTGAGCACCTGCAGGGCAATGTGGGTTATAGGCAGCAGGGTAAGACAGCCCTCAATAGCTGGACTGCACAGCTCACCTGGGACTCAGGCAAGACGAGCTCAGGTGCCACTGTCCAGTCTTTGGTGATTATCTGCTCAGGAAAGGCTAGGATCTGGTGAGCAGGCACAGCTGTGGGTGGAAAAGAGCCAGAGGAAATTTTTCTTGCTACTGATTATAAACATCCTTAGCTTATTTCTAAAGTACAGATAATCCTGATTCTTTCAGCAGAAATGGAACACTTTTAAAACTGTTACATGTTACCAAGAAGTGGCCTTCTCATCATAAAGAGGAATCGAGTATTTACTAGCCTCTACAACAGGTTCCACAGTTGATGGTTTCTGGTTTCATGAGTGAAAGCAATAAAAGGAATTTTTTTTTCACCTCATGTGTCATAAATTGTTCAAAGTTGGGGAAAAATTAGATGTGTTTAAAATTGCAGAACTCTGTCCAGTGTGCCAAGGATGGGAACGGTAAAGCAAAAATTAACTTGGGAGTTCAAGAAACAGCAACATCTTATGGATAAAGAGGACTGAACAAGGGCACAAGTGGCAGATGAATAGGGGCCAGATCTTGGATGCTCCTGGGTACCTCAGTGAGGAATTTGGATTTTATTCTGAATGAGTGAGAAGTCATTGTAAGATTTTAAAAAGGATGATATCATGATCAAATCAGGGTTTTAAAAAACCTTGGCTGTTGCATGGCGAGTAGATTGTGGCAGGCTTAGAGTGGTGGCAGAAGGCGCCAGTTAGAAAGTACTGAGGTGAGCCTGGTTACACACTCCCCTGGATTAGACCAAGATGCTAACAATTCAAGAGGATGAGACATGGTTGGACTTAGCTATGTGGAGCTAAGAGGAGGATTAGGAGTGGGGTAGGAGAATAAGATCAGAGTAAAGAATGACTGCAAATTATCTGGCCTGAAATACTGGGTGAGTGGTGCTGCTCTTTATGGAGATGGGAAAGGTAAAAGAAGAGATTTTGGGGGGGGGGTAGGGATCAAGATTTTTAGCATAAGGGCGCCTGGGTGGCTCAGTCGTTAAGTGTCTGCCTTCGGCTCAGGGCTCCCTGCTCCACAGGAAGCCTGCTTCTCCCTCTCCCACTCCCTCTGCTTGTGTTCTCTCTCTCGCTGTGTCTCTGTCAAATAAATAAATAAAATCTTAAAAGAAAAAAAAAAAGAATTTTAGCATAAAGAATGAGCATGTGCACTTGAAAAAAGCTCCCCAGGTGATCTGGATACACCTTTCCCCTGTCCACACACCACATAGCTGAGAAACAACCTGTTACCGGAACACAGCCTCTCAGAGGAATACATTCCCAGTAAGCAGAGAATATGACAGATTACTCAACTTCTACTCAATGCGAGGGATTCTTTACCTAGAGAGATGACAGTCTCATAGTTTTCCCGCATTACATCATTGTAGAGAGCCTTCTGAGTGGGATCCAGTAACTCCCATTCTTCCTGGGAAAAATACATGGCCACTTCTTCAAATGTCAACAAGCTCTAAAGAAGACAATGGGCTTCAGCTCAGTACTTGCACTACAGAAGCAGCCCTACCATCTGGCCCATGGTAGACCCTGGGCACTGCAGGAATTAATGGCACATTTTTTTTTTAAGTGAGAAGGCAAAAGAAAAGAAGCATGGGATCATCAAAGGCCTAGGAGGTGCCCAGTTCCCCAGGCAGAACACTGGAGCTAATATGCCTGTGAGCTGAGCAGTGTGGGTCCTGGGGAGCAGGGAAAGGCAGCCCTCAACAGCTGGATTGCACAGCTCACCTGGGACTCAGGCAAGATGAGCTCGGGTGCCACTGTCCAGTCTTTAGTGTTTGTCTGCACAGGAAATGCTACGATCTGGTGAGCAGGCACAGCTGTAAGTGGAAAAGAGCCAGAGGAAATCTCTCTCACTTCTGTCTATAAACATCATTAGCTCATTTCTAAAATATAGATGATCCCAATTCTTTGGGCAGAGTTGGGACACCCTTGCAAGTGTGTGTGGTTCCCCGAAGTGGGTCTTGTCATCATACACAAGAGCCAAGTATCTACTGGTCACTAGAATAGGTTCCCCAGTTTTCATGAGTCAATAAATGAAAGACAAACTTATTTTCCCCTCATGATGTAAACTGTTCTAAGGCAAAAATTCAACATATTCGAAAATGAAGTACTCAGGATATCCAGTGTACGATAGGAGATGTAGTTGTTGTGGTTTTTAATCATTTATTCTTTTTCTCCTGGTACAGAAGTGTGTTCACATTCTTCTAGTGCTTTCTAAGGAAGAGAATTCATGGGGTTATTACCAGGATTCTGTAGGTGGGACGTTTCTGTACCCTAGGCCAACGCCCAGCTTTACCCACAGCTGGTGCTCTACTGCCACCCAGGGGACATCATAATTGGTAACATGCCTGCGTTTGCCCATCCACATAGCCAGGCACCCAGAAAATGCTCACAATGTTCTGGCTGAACAAATTCCTCTAACAGCTCGCAATAGAAGGGAATTATGATGTGCCTTACCCCTCTCACATACAGGCTCAGTTTCTTTATGAATATTCCTGCTCAGCTGTTCTTGCAGACCCTGGTATGTATTCCAGAATTCTTCATCCTGGGCCATTCCCACTGGCTGGGATTCTGCTGTTTCTCCCAAGATCACTGCCTCCTTTCCCAGCTCTTGGACTGCAACCTAGAAATAATCCCCATCTTGTTACCACAAAAATTACTTTTGGTTTTGGAGTTGAATGTAAAAGGAAGAAATAGTGAACAGTCCAGATGGTGGGAAATGTGTGACACTAAAGGAAATGACAAAAAGACTTAAAGAAATATCAGGCCACCAATTTTGCAGAGAGCTACCCACAAAACGTTGAAATATTAGGATAAAAGGGAAAAAAAAAATGTGGCTACTGCTAGTCCTATGACACAGCAGGCCCAACCCCTCTGCATAAAGATCAGTTCAGATCACTAGGAGGACTACATAGGCCACCTGTTCTCATGCTACTTTGACAGGCTTTCTCTTTGACTTAGATCCCTCCTTAGTGTTTTTGTCTTCTCATTTTCTCAAAAGGTCAAAAAGTTGAATAAATGAAGTTGTCTCCTCAACCATATTATCCCCATGGCCAGGGAAGGTTTTCACAGAACAGGGATGAAATGGAAGAAAGGGGAAGAAAGTCTGGCTCCAACCTACCTCCAAAATTTTTTGGCATTAAACATATGCCTGCCCTGTTTCTTCCCAGTAGGCCTGAAGCCAGTTGGTGTTCTGCCACCTGGCTAAGGACGTGCTCCCCACTAACCAGTAGAGCCAAGGACCAACCATTGAGAGCACTGTGGAGGCTCTCACCTATGAGTCAGACGAGACTATCCTTCAACGTCTTTCTTCTCTCCGCTACTCTGCTAGGATTTTCAAATCTGTTTTCTTTTCTTCTGCCTACTTTTCTCTCCCTCTGCATTCTTCCCCCATTATTTGGGTTTTCCTTCTCTTTACTATCTCCACTCAACTTTTCATTTTAAGTGTTCTCCCTTATTCAAGTCTTCCCCTTCCTCTCCAACTCCTTACTGCCTTTTATTCATTTGGAGCTCAAAACCCATGTCCCTGTACAAGCCAAAGTAGGCTTACTACCCTCAATTCAGTCTGGCTCTAGAGCACAAAAACAATCTTTCTCAAAGGCCAGGAAAGTATATGCCAAGGATCTGCAAAACCTGTGGACTACTGTAGGTTTGTGGTTTCTGGTCCTGCCTTAGATGTCCTCCAACAGAACAGTGAACTAATTCACCTTATTTCTTAATTTAACTGCCTCCACCCCATATCCTCCTCCATTCTATTTCATGGCATGTATCAGGAATCTTTCTTCTCACCCCATTCCTCGTGTGACCAGATTCCCTCTCCAAGTGTTCTACCAGGACTACAACCTCCTCAATGCTCTGTAGATGGTCCTTCCTTATCCGGCTCTGGGTGTCCCTGGGTAGAATGGTCACAAACTGTTCTAGCACAAGCAGTTCCAAGATCTGCTCTTTTGAGTGGAGCTCTGGCCTCAGCCACTGACGACATAATTCCTGAAGTTGTCCAACAATTTCACGGGGTCCTGCTGCTTTTTGATAGCAGAAATTCCGGAAGTGCTGGCGAGAGCTTTCAGGATTGAGACTGTCCGTTTGTGCGGTATATTTCTTATTGTGACTGGAACTCTCTATCACAGGCCCCTTGCTCTCCCACAGAACCCTAATTTGAGGGTTCAAATAGTCAGCCACCTTCAGATCTACCATCATTATTCTGCGGCAGGAACAGTTTTATTCCTTTGTTGGATACTCCAGCAGCACCACCTTTGGCAAGTAAGACCCAGTCAGTTCTGGAACAAAATCAATAAAAGGATCTTCTTCCTAAAACACTGAAAGCAGAAAAAAAGTGCACATCAGTAAGAAAGTCACATGAACTTTACTACACACTACTCATAACAGGAGAAAAATGAACAGAAAAATCCTGCCTTGCTTTCCTTTTATTTTCTTTTAAAAAGAGTTTATTTATTTATTTGTGTGAGAGAGAAAGAACAGGGGGAAGGACAGAGGGAGAAGCAGATTCCCCGATGAGCGGGGAGCCTGACACAGGGTTCAATCTCAGAAGCCTGAGATCATGACCTGGCCCAAGGCAGCCACATAACTGACTGAGCCACCCAGGTGCCCCTGCTTTCCTTTTAAAGAATCCACTGCCAGACCCTTTCTTCTTCTCTTATCCACTTGAAATAAGGCACAGCGCATTGATAGACAAATGCCCACTGAGGACTTGGCCTTTGCAAAAATAATGATTCAAGAAAGGTTAGACAGTGAGAACATTTACACCCTCTGGATGCAAGGAGCCTGGGGATTATCCAAAGACTTCATTGCTGTGCTTCCTATGCCAGCTTCCCCATACCAAGGGAGATCAGGAGACTATTCTGCGTTCCTCTTAAATTTTTTTTAAGATTTTATTTATTTATTTATTTGAGAGAGAGAGAGAGAAACAGCATGAGAGGGGATAGGGTCAGAAGGAGAAGCAGGCTCCCCGATGAGCCGGGAGCCCGATGCGGGACTCGATCCCAGGACTCCGGGATCATGACCTGAGCCGAAGGCAGTCGCTTAACCAACTGAGCCACCCAGGCGCCCGTTCCTCTTAAATTTTAACGTGTCATCCCAGTCTTCTGTCTCTACTAAGGGGGTCCAACTTCTCTGACCCTTCATCCTCTTGTGAAGACGGAAGCCCTCAGTGCGTGGAACGTTCCAGATTCTCCTTTTCACTCTACGAATACTGGCAGGAGAGCTGGGACACCGAAGTGAGACCAGAGAAGAAGGGAAGTAATTAGGGAAAAAGCAGTCCTATTCTTCTCAGACAGCATTCCCGGATTAAGTAACTAGATGCTCAACACTCTTGTTTGACACTTCCCTGCAAGAAGCATAAAGGGCACCGTGCACAAGATCCATTCCTGTGTTTTTAAATCTCTTTACTTGACCCAGAAAAATCACAGCTGATCTTTGCTTACAAAACGTTTATCCACAGGCCAAGTCGCAAAGGAGGAGAGAAGGAGAGTTGGTGGTGTTGAGAGTGACCCTTCGGCCCACCTTCCCTTTCTTCGACGCTCAATTTAGACCTCGAGGCGAGACTGAGGAGAGTCCCGGGACCTCGCTTTCCCTGGCGTGAGCCCGCAGGAACGGCACCCAAAGTCGACCAGGATGCCACGGTATTCCCAAACGGACGGCCGCCAGCAGGCTCAGCGGGCACCGGGACGCTTGCCGTGCTTGGGTACCAGCAAAGGCTGACGTCTCCGAGGCTGCACCGCCCGGGTCCCCGGCGCGCGGCAACACCGGCCAGCGAGGCCCCGACGCCGGCTGCGCAAAGGCGGACAACAGGATGGCCTCCGGAGCCTGACGGCGGGGCTTCCAGAAATGGTTCCGCCGTCAGGCGGCGCCGCCCGGCCTGGAAACACCGCGGTCCACGGACAACGGCGGCCAGGCTCCCTCGGGACCTCCGCGGCCGACGCCGCTCCCCCTGCCACCCGCTCACCTGCAGGCCGCCGCCCTCCGCCCCGCGCCGCTCCGAGGCGGGCCCCGCCCCGTGCGACACCGTCCTCAGCACCGGCCCTCAGGCCCGCGTCGCTGCCCGGGCCCCATCCGACACCGCGCTCCGGCCGGAAGCGGACTCACGCCCTTCCGGGGAGGGGCTTCGAGCAGCCGCGCCGCGGGCCGCGGCCTCGCGGAGGCAAAGCGGCTTTCCGCCGGGTGCCGCCCTGGCGGCGGGAAAGAGTTAATGCTACCGAGTGTCCCGTTTCCCGCCGCGGCCTAGAGGGGCCTGCGCGGCTCGGCGAGCTGCTGTCGCCGCCTCGCGTCCCGGCTCCGGGAGGCGCTGCGCGTCCGGCTGGTACCTGCGTAGCTTTCGGGCGGCTGGCTGCGCCTGATCCCCCGAGCCCCGCCCGGCGAGGGTGGCCGCCCCTGCGCGCGCGGGGCCCTCGCTCTTCCTGGGGCTTGCGTCCCGGTCGGGATCGGCGGCCCCCGAGGGCTTGTTCCCTCCTCTGGGCCGCGCGTCCCTCACAGCGATCACGTTTTCCTGGTGAGGTAGGTTTCAGCCGCTGAGACGGGCCCCATTTGTAGTGTCCTTGACAGGGACATGGAGGCGCGGCTCGGCCCGGGTCCCACGAGCGACGGGCGGCGGCCCCTAGTATGGGATTTAGGTCCCCTGCAGTCTTGGCTCCCGCTCCGTCCGCCACGGCATGCTCCCTGGATGATGGGAACCCCCTTTCCATCTTGTGTCCCCTGCAGTCTCTGCCAGAGTTCGTGAACCCTACTTCTCAGGATCCGGGCATTTCAGGGTGTCGGCGTCTCCTAATCATCAGGGCTCTCCTAGCGTCAGCCTTCGCCAGGCAACGGGTTACTTACTAGGTCCACTACGTGCAGGCAGGGCTAGAGTGCACAGGGCAAAGTCTTTGCTGCAAGGAATCTCACCAAAGGACCGGGGCATTTTCGTGACCGGCAGTAGTTACACAGGCTAGGAAGAGCTCGGGAGGCCTAGGCTGAGCGCTGCGGGAGTCCAAGGAAGTCAAAGTTGACTTATGGTTGGGGAAATGGGCAAAGACCTTGAACCTCCGTGGTCTGTCCGCACCACGGAGTGGGGCCACATCCACGCAGAGGGAAAGCTGGAAAAGATTGGGGTGTGAGAAGATCCGTCATACGTTTCCACTAAGTGTGATCGGGCTACATTTGGAGGAAGACTGAACAGTGAGAAAGTAAGTTCTAGTAGCCCTCTCACGGGGTGCGTTGCATGGCAGTGAAGAGACTGCATTTAATAAAAGTAAATCCTGGAGCATCGCTGGAGGCTTTTCTGAGGGAGCTTCTTTCCAGGGCAGTTCATCTGAAGTAAGGTGAAGGTGGGAATGAAAATGGGAGACCAGTACCAGGCCATTATATTACTTTTGCTTTTAGGTGGAATCCTGTTATGCTTCTCTGATCCTTTCTCAAAGGATTAAACACGGGAGATAAGAATAAGCATCTGCCTAAGTCACTTGAATAGGTTTCAGAGCAGATTCATTTCCTTAGAATCCGAGTCAGGTTGAGACTTAAGTTTCTTCAAAAGCAATTCTTTCCAGGCTTCCAGAAGCAGAGGACAGTAGTGCTCTTAGCATTGAGATCCTCACCATCAGGCCCAAGGCTGAGCATATACTTGGAACTTACTAAAGTGAATAAATGAACTTCTGCCAGTGGTGCCCTGGCATGGCACTGGAGGGCCTGATTCATAACATGGGTACAGAGGTGGTTGGGGGAGAAAAAGTGGGAAAAGAGACCCCCGTGAAAGCAAGAAGAAGGCACAAACTGGTGAATAGTGAATGAGGGCCAGTAAACAGAAGTAAGCAGAAACAAGGCACAAACTGGTGAATAGTGAATGACGGCCAGTAATGATTTTTCGTAGTTTGAAGTCTGTGTCAGAGTTCCTTTCCCTTGCTGTGGAGCACCAACATCCCCCCCACAGGAGGGGGATTCCCCGCAGGAATCACATTCCCCTGCCTTGGTACTGCTTGAAAAATGATGAAATGTACAGCTGGGAAGCGATGACAGCAAAGACCTGCACTTTATTCTGAGTTACCACACAACTGCAGTAGCGGGCTGAGTGGCTTTGCTGCGTGACTGGCTGGAGTTAACAATGCTGCTACTGACTAACCAATTCTTGCTTTTTTCTTTTTCCATTTATATTAGTTATCACTGAATAATTCCCTTAGTTATGACTGCCTTTTTCAAAGTTGCTTGATCTTAGTCTGAATTTGCTCCACACCCTATTCACGATCATATTCTTTCACGATCCTCTTAGTGTTCCACAAACCAGTTGGCATTTCTGGCAACAAAGGTTAGAGAAAAACTAGCAGCCTGGACTCTTGGGTTTCTAGATGAGAAGCTTGTGATAATTCTTGGTAATTGAGGAATGAATGAAAGCCAATCAGGCTCTGCAGTATAGGAGAAGAAAAAATAATGAAATGCCAATCATTTTCCTCATTTCTCTGACATACTTTTCTTTCTTCATAGCACCTGAAATGGATAAAAGTTGCAGTTTTTGTTACTTCCCATGAGTTTGTGTGTCTGGAATGAAAACAATGAAATTAATCTAGAGTAGGACATTTGTAAGGACATGGAATGGCATTGGGCATCACCAGGAGGACCTGCAAGGAATATCTGAGGATTATCAGAAACACAAGTAGAGAAATCTTTTAAATTTCTTCAAGCAGGGGAAAAAGTGAGTATTGTTTCAAATTAAGCAACATCTACAGTGAAGAGAATTCGAATAAAGTCTCAAATATAACAAATCTGTTACTTAACATCCTAATGTAAATTTAGAACAAAAAAATGAAAGGTCAAATCTTTTTAAAAATGTTTAACTATGATAAAATATTTTTAAAACTTTTGGACTGATCTCTAAGAATTGCCATGACTCTGAAACTCAGTAATTCCGAAATATGGAAAAGCTTCAGTGAAAAATAACACTTGAGAATATACCAGATGTACACAAGGAAGAAGTTCTGAGAGTGGGAAAAGTACCACTAACAAATTTTTATATACTTAGAGATTACCTCGGTAAACATAAGAAGTTAAAGCTCAGTCATTGAGAATGCTACATTGAATGTAATAAACGTGAGATTTCTTCACATGGACAACAGAACCTATTAACTTTCTTTTTCACGTAAAGATACTAAACAATTGTTCAGGAATACCAGCTCTCCAGACATCCCAATGTTAGGATAGCGTGGACTCTTTATCCAGGTGGGTGGCCTGCTGCCCAGTGAACACTACGTACAGAGCACCACGAGCACTTTTGTTTCTGGCAGCGAGGTAAAATCAGGTCGTTTTGGAAGGGGAGAAGCCACTCTGCATCTCTGCTACATAAGATTACTCTCTCTATGCCTTTGAGGCTTTCACACTCCCTTCTCAAGCACTACTTTTTATGTAGACTCTCACTTGGCTTTGTTCTTGGGGACACATCTCACCTCTGCTCCTGTTGTCTTTTTCTGTGTTGAGTTAGGGAGAGTATGCAGGTATTCCTGTTATTCCTGACTGGTGCTGCTGTATCTGTCAAGAAAGGAGGAGGTGGACGGGGTTCTGAGAACACATCATCCATATCTTGCAGGAGCAACAGCCAGATAGGGCTTTGATAGTGGTGGCTTTCTGAGTTCATAAGACCTTCATCTGTAGACTCACACTTCAGTCATGAGCCTTTATCCCTTTTAGCCCAATACCCTTCTGTACAAATGCCTGTGCCTTTTGGGGCTTTAAGCTAGTTTTTTGTTTTGCTTTTAATTTTTTCCAATTCAGTAAGGCTTTTCCCTCTTTTTCTCCTGTTGGTTGTTTGAACAAAATTCACTATGAATAAAAGAGGGAAATATACAACATTGAATTTGGAGGAGAAAATGAAGGTTCTCAGTAGGATTGAAGCTGGACGATCTCTTAAAAGTGTAATGGATGAATTTGGAATCAGTAAATCAACATTTTATGACATTAAAAAGAATAAGAAATTGATTTTGGACTTTGTACTGAAGCAGGACATGCCATTAGCAGGGGCTGAGAAGAGAAAAAGGACAACAGGAGCCAAATATGGTGATGTGGATGATGCAGTCTACATGTGGTACCAACGGAAACGCTCAGCTGGTGTCCCTGTTAGAGGTGTGGAGCTTCAGGCTGCTGCAGAGAGATTCGCACAGTGTTTTGGGCGAACAGACTTTAAAGCTAGCACTGGCTGGCTTTTTAGATTTCGAAATAGGCACGCAATTGGGAATCGAAAAGTATGTGGGGAACAAGTCCTAAGTTCAGCTTCAGAAAATGTTGAACCATTTCGACGAAAACTGTACATGCTTATCAAAGAGGAGAAACTGAGTCTAGCTCAGCTGTACAGTGGGGATGAGACTGACCTCTTTTGGAAGTCAATGCCAGAAAACATTCAGGCAAGCAGAAAAGAGATCTGCCTGCCTGGGAGGAAAATAAACAAAGAACGGTTGTCTGCTCTTTTATGTGCAAATGCAGATGGAACTCATAAGTTAAAGTCAATCATTATTGGAAAATCAAAGCTGCCCAGAAGTGTGAAAGAGGACACAAATACCTTACCTGTGATATATAAGCCTAGTAAAGATGTTTGGTTCACCAGAGAATTGTTTTCAGAATGGTTCTTTCAAAACTTTGTTCCCGAGGTCAGGCATTTTCAACTTAGTGTTTTAGGATTCCATGAAGAGGATGTCAGGGCCTTGTTACTTCTGGACAGTTCTCCAGTTCACTCTTCCGCCGAATCACTAACCAGTGAGGATGGTCGAATAAAATGCATGTTCTTTCCCCATAACACTTCAACCTTCATTCAGCCAATGAATCAAGGTGTGATCTTGAGCTGCAAACGACTTTATAGGTGGAAGCAACTTGAAGAGAGTCTTGTAATTTTTGAAGAAAGTGATGATGAGCAAGATAAAGGAGAAAAAGGAGTTTCCAAGATTAAAATCTACAACATAAAAAGTGCAATTTTTAACTGGGCAAAGAGTTGGGATGAAGTAAAACAAATAACCATAGCAAATGCATGGGAAAATCTTCTTTACAAAAAGGAACCTGAATATGATCTTCAAGGCTTTGAAGATGGAGATTATAGAGAAATCCTGGAGAAATGTGGGGAGTTGGAAACCACACTGGCTGATGATAGAGTGTGGTTCAATGGGGATGATGAAGAAAAGGGTAGCCCCGCAAAAACAAAAAGTGGAATTACAAAGGAAGTTGTTCAGAAAGGAGGAGGAGCTGAAGAGCAGACTGCTGAATTTCAGTTACCTGCTGTCAGAGAGAGTTTGGACTACCTACTTGACTTTGTTGATGTCACACCTGAGTTTCAAAGGTTCCGTTTCACACTGAAAGAGATGCAACAAGAAATAATAAAAAAAGAGTTCCAGAGTAGAATCCATTCTAGGATTGGTAGTTTTTTGAAACCCAGGCCTCGTGTTATGAAGGACTCCTTCAATATGCCTTCAACTTCTAGTAATTAGATTTTGTGTTTAAAGGTTTCTGTAGTTATGTATGATGCAGACCTGTTATGAATTGTCATTGTTTTTATCAGCTGACCTCATTTTGAATAGCACTGCCCATTTATATACTGTTTATAATACATACAATTTAAAAATAAATTTCTTTAAAATATAAAAACATTCATTAATCCATTTTTATTTCTGTTTTAGCCAAGGATCTGAATAACAAAGAGTTATTGTCCCAGATTATCTAAGGTGGCATGGATGTGGGAAAAGCATTACATTCTATCTCATTCAGAGCATATAACAAGAAGCTATATGCTGACTAGTTCTAGTTATTTTTTAAAAGATTTTTTAAAAGTACATAAAATAAAAAAATAAAAAGAAGAGATTTGGTTTTCAGTTTAATGGTGTGACATGCTCTGCTTTCTTAAATTTGTACCACCTGCTGTCCCCCCTTCTTGTGCAAGTAACATGCTGATTATAGAAGATACATATTTAAAAGATGAAAAGCACCCAACATCTGTCGACCAATGATAGTTTAACACTTTGGTATATTTTATGTATTTAAAAAATAGGCAGATTACTTGGTAAATACAAGTTTTTATATCTTATTGTCTTAACATGCTTTAGGCCTTGGCATTAATAAAACGTTAGCATTTGTTTTAAGCCTAGGGTAGAATGGATTGTGGAAGAAGTTGATGGGAATGTCAGATGAGTTTACTGGACAGCTCTCTAGTTCCTTTTAAGTCATTGCATCAAACGCCCCACCCCCACCCCGCCCCCGCCACAGGTAATACATTTCCAGAGTGAATGACCGGCAGTCACACCCTTTCGAAAAGTATTCACTAATTCTGGAAGCCTCACGTTGCCTTTCCGTGCTAGGTACCGAGCCTGGTGTTGGGCATTTAGACTTGAATTAGAAAGAAAACGAATAGGAAGGAACAAACCACCATTCAATGTGTAAGTGCTAGGTGAGTGTGGAGAGGGCTTTGGGAGTGTTTGGGTAGCAGGGGAAGTATCTAAGAGGGTCAACTGTGACTTCTGAGCTGAGCTTTAAAATTTAGTGCTGGCAGTGGCAGGGCAGTCCGGGCAAAGAGCTCAGGCTCTTCGATTTGAGAGTGAATCTCCCTGGGAAGCTGCAAGATCCCTGGATGGTTGCTGTAGGAGCAGCTGGCAAAGAAAAGCAGGAAAGACAGGTCCGGGCCAGATTTTCATGCTAGGTCATCCTAGGATTTCAGACATCCGTCTGGGCCCACGTAAAGTTCTGTCGTTTCGACATCCTAAATGGCTCACCTTTTGTCTCCACTTCTCCCTCCCTGCTGTTCGTGTCCCGGTCCAGGCTGCCATCACCCCCTGACTGGACAACTGCATCAGTCTCCTTTCTTGTCCTCTCCCGATCCTTTCTCATCCTGTAGCCCCTTCGTGGGCTTCCCTTTGCATTTAAGCAAAGACTCCTGACCTCAGGTCGGCCTGCAGGCCCGCCCTTCCCGGCGCCTGAAACTCCCCTTTCCCGGCGGCCACACCACCCAGGTCTGCGCTCACCCCCTGCTGGACCACGAGAAGCCGGGCCCGCTGTAGGCCCCGGGTAAGCGCACACCTGAGAGACCGGGGAAGGTTTCGGGGAGGGTTGTAGCGCCGCCGGCGTCCGCTGGGAAAGAGGGAGAGGGAAGGCTGCGGCCTGGTGGCCAGGCCCAGCCCTATGAGCCGAGAACTGTGCGGAGCGCCAGCCAGTGTGCCAGAGCCACCTGAGCGTAAGGGCCGGGCGGCCCTAGGGGAAGTCGCGGCCCGGCGCAGCCATAGGGCGTCCGCCAAGCGGGCCAGAGTGGCCAGGGTGGAGAGCAGGCCCGTGAGACGGGCGCAGCCATAGAGTGTCAAGGGGCGGGCCAGAGCGGCCGGGAAAAAGGGGGTGGGCCCGAAGGGAGGAGAGGCCGGACGCAACCATGGAGTTCCTGCCGGCGAACTAGAGAGGCCAGAGTGGGGAGGCGTCGTGCCCTAACTGTCCCCGGTCGGGGAGCAGAGGCCGCCAGAAAGCTTGGGCGTAGGGTGAGGGAAGGTTTGTGAGGACTGCGCTGCCGAGCGCCCGCCCCGTCACCTCCTATTCCTTCCCGGGCTCGCGCAGAAGCCGTTCTCGGTGGGGCAGGAGCGCAGGCGGGGGGTTAGGCCGTCAGGAAGGGGCTGATGTCTTTGGTTCTGGAAATCATATTTTCAGGACTAGAGCTCCTCCGGGAAACCCAGGCACCTCACTCTCGTTCCGGTGGCTGATCCCCCGCCCCCTCCCCTGAAGAACGGGAAAGAGTAGGGATACGGAGGCAAACACGACAACGCATTATGTCCAAAAACATACCCCAGGATTTGAGAAAGGAACTTAGTAATTTCTTTCCTTACCCTTTCTTGCCTCCGGAAATCTGACCACCTCCTCAGAGCAGGTTTGGAACCTGGCGTGTCACCAGTTTTGATCTCTGCCTACAGCTTCTGGGACATTTCAGTGATAAATTGAGGATATTAACAAAGATTTGTCCAAATGTGTTGGTGTTCTGAGCGACTTTTAATCAACCATTTTCTCATTGTTGAATTTACCTGGACCATTCCCACTGCCTAACTGCCTACGTGAGGCATCATATAGCTCCTTTTAGTAAAAATGACTTGATCAGAAAGAATTATGTCTCCCTTTCAACAGTGGAAGTCAAATTTTAATCAAGTGTTTGCAAGCTAGATTGAAGGCTAAAGGGATGAATGCACCTCTATTTTTCTAATAAATGCACTTTTGCTTTAATCTTAACTATTTTTGAGTTGCTGACACTCAAAGAAGTTAGCCCCCTAGTGCTAATAAATTTGCTAGAACTTTTTAATGACTTAGTTGTTTCAAATGTTTGTGAAACATTTACAAAAATTACAAGTCTTAAAGCAGTGGTGGTGATTCTGCACTTTCCAAAATGCTATCAGTTGACAGTGTAATTCAATAGTAAACTCTTCATAAAAGGGCTGGGGGTACAGAATCTTGAACTTCAGATTATGATATTGAGACCCATAAATCCTTCCCTTACTGCAATAAAAATTCTTAGTGATTGCTGATGTTTTTTTCTGGAGAAAAAAATTGTTTAATACTTTTTCCAGTCTCTGGCCTTACAAGCTTTGTCCTCAGTGATGTCTGGCCCGCTGCTCTTAATTTGCCTCTGCCAGGTTTTTTCACAGTGCTTAAATGTAGTACCAATTCTCCACTCAGGAGTCCTTCCTTCTGTTGGTCTTCTGTGCTACCTTTGCTCCAAGGACTGTGGCTATTGCTCAGGGTCAGTCCACATCTCCCAGGTCTCCTTTGTACCCATCTGGGCTGAGGGGGGCAAGGGTCTTTATTGCCCCAGTGTCAGTCTCCCATTGACCTAGGAGCCAGTTGGAGACGTCTGGTTTCTTTTTCAAGGACTAGTGGGTAAAAGTATAAACGTAAAAAGTGCGTGTGCAGCATTAAAGTACAAATGTAAGAAAGCACACATTGGCCATCCCTTGCAGGGACCTCGTGGGAGCCTGCAGAAAGGACCTCCAACCTGCTCTTTGATATAACCACAAGGAAAGAAATCATCATTCCTGCCTGTCAGTAACAGAAATTTCTGCCAGCGTGGTCTTACATTGGCATCAGTGGCAGGTGCTTAGAAGGCAGTCTTGCCAGTATTTTCTGCCCACAGATGACACCAATAGATGAATACTCTCTATGTGCCAGGACCTGAGCCAGATGTTTTGCATGGAATTTTCTGTGAAATCATCTCATTAAAACAGCCAAGAACAGCTCTGCTTGTGAATTAGCTAGAAGGGGAGCTAAACGGGGGGCGCTTCCTATTGGAAAGCCTTTTTAGTGCAGGGAGTGAATTTCTGGGGGCTCTCATTGCTCTAGCCTGAAGCTGCAGTGCTCCCAGTAGGAGCAACAGCACTTGGACCACTATCAGATCTGCAGGGATGACACTATAGGGGAGAGGGGTGAAAGGGAGGGGTGCTTTCCATTCTCACGAGATTTACAATCCATTTAAGTTGCAATCTTAACCAGAGTGCTTAGTAACAACATCAACTTGACATCACCCACACATTTCATGGCATTAGCAGCCACACCAATCAGTCCTAAATTAATCTCTCTCAAATCTTAACCCTCTCTCCTGCCCCTCAAACCCTGCACTACCCCTGCCCTCTTATGGAGAAAGGAAGAGAAATAAGAAACTAAGATTTTTCAAAGATTTTATTCTTTTCAAAGGTTTTATTTGCCAGAGAGAGAGCCAGTGAGAGAGCATGAGCACAAGCAGGGGGAGCGGCAGGCAGAGGGAGAAGCAGGCTCCCCCCAAGCAGGGAGCCCGATGTGGGGCTCGATCCCAGGACCCTGAGATCATGACCTGAGCCGAAGGCAGACGCTTAACCAACTGAGCCACCCAGGTGTCCCAAGAAACTAAGATTTTTTTAAAAACTGATCAGGAAATGGGGGGAGGGGTATGCACGGTTGTTTCCCTCACTTAAAATTAGTGTATTTGATAGCCAATTGCCAGGTAATGTTCCACCTTTTTCTCCCAGAGAACAGTTAGCTATCTTCCTCCAGGGCCAAATCCTGAGAGGTTTTCCTGGCATCAGAATTTCCTACTCCTAGAATACTTCCTGGTAGTCTACCTCTTTCTCATAGATACACATTCCTGGAATTCCTATTCCCGATTCCCCATGCTAAAATACAAAGCTTTCCCCTAAAAATCTTGCCCTTGCCTCTATTTTCCCTCCATTAACAGGCAATAATTCAGGTATGTTCTGTCTTTGAAGAGCCATTTTCCTTCAGCTTTGTCAAAAGAAAGTAAACATTCTAAACAAACGATCAAAGACATTTTTACTGCTGTCCAGCACTCAAAGGAAAGAAGCCTTCTAGGAGACCCTTATGACAACGTGACCCCAAGCAGCCACTGGGCTTGACCCTTTGTTATCGCGAAGCAGTCCCAAGCTTGACCGGTCAGGGCCCCACCCTACCTCAGCCCTCCTCAGCCAACCTCATCCAAACCTTCTTTGACCAACCACAGAAAAAGCAGGTCCTCTGGCCAAAGCACACAGGAAACAAATCAACACGGAGGCCAAGACAAAAGGTCCTCAATGAAGAGTCACACACGCTCATGTTTCCTGAAGATATTTATTACCATCCAAACATTTTCAACAGGGAAAGGCATGATCCCTAATTTCCCCAGCATCCACATTTGCAAAACCTCCCAGGGAACCCCGCTTTCATAGAACCCTCTGAAGACCCCAGAGCTCTGTTTCTTTCTTGGACAGAAGTGGGGTAAGTCTTAATCTCTGCAAAGGTGCACTAATTCAAAATCCGGTTTCCTCTGCCAACACCTGGGCTGAACTGCAAACTCCATCTTACTATTTCCCTCAGGTCTCTGGTTCCTCTTGGTCTGAGGTGATGGTTATAAGCCCGGCCTGTGCATGGGCCTTCCCATCCGAGAGGCGCTGTGGTAGCTGCCCTGGACTGCCCATGGCTTCCCAGCCAGGCCTTTGGGGGAGCTGCAAGTCGCCAACCAGTCTTCTGTGGCCATGAGCTGGTTTCCAGAATACTCCGCCCTTCTTTGGTCCCAGGCCTCAGAAGCCCAAATGCCCCTGCTGAACATTCCAAGTGAGGAAGCAGTAACGGAAAGTCACATGGATTCCCAAAGTTGTTGGGATAGACAATGGATACAGTAAGGCACCCAAATCACAACCTGGCTAAATATACCAAGGGAGTAGGTGTACCCTGGCACAAGAGGCTTCATAGAGAAGGTCACCCCAAAGACTTGCCACCCTCAATAGTTTGGACAGAATTCTGTTTTAGTTCTATGCTAATCCTTTGCTGCCTCTGCACCTCCCTCACAATGACCCCCACCTTGTTCCTCTTTATAGTAATTACTTTAAAAACAGATCATTTGGTGGGCTGGGCAAAAAAGACCAGCTCTTAACAGGACTCTGAGTATGCCACCTTATCTGGGCCAAAGAGAAATCCCATTGTTTCTATCCCGTGTGAGTTCTCTGGTGACTCATAAGGCGTGAACTCCGAGAAAAGCTCTCTCCACATTCAGAACATTTATAGGGTCTCTCTCCCGTATGGGTTCTCAGATGACGAATCCGATTGGAGCTGTGAGAAAAACTGTCTCCACACTCATGACAGGTATAGGGTTTTTCTCCCGTGTGAATTCTCTGGTGCCTGATTAAGTTTGATCTATGAGAGAAGTTTTCCCCGCAAAGGTTACACTTATATGGTTTCTCCCCTGTGTGCGTTCTCTGATGTCTGGTGAGGTGCATGCCCTGCCGGAAGCTTTTCCCACAAGTCAAACATTCAAAGAGTTTTTTCTCTGCCTTGTGGGTTCCATGATTTGTAAGAAAGAGGGTGCTGTCACTCACTGCTTCCCCACACTCAGAGAAGGGGTAAAGCCTCTCTTTCTCATGAGTTCTTTCATGTATGACAAGGTGTGAACTGCGAGAGAAACTTTTCCCACACTCAGCACACTTATAAGGTCTCTCTCCCGTGTGAATTCTTTGGTGTCTAAGGAGGTTGGAACTATGAGCAAAGATCTCCCCACACTCGGGGCACTTGTAGGGCTTTTCACCTGTGTGTGTCCTCTGGTGCCTGTGAAGGTTTGAGTTGCAAGAGAAGCTTTTTCCACATACGTTACATTGATAGGGTTTCTCACCCGTGTGGGTGCGCTGATGGCGAGTCAGGTGGGTATTCTGACTGAAGCTTTTTCCACATTCCAGGCACTTATGGGCCTCCTCTCCCAAGTGTGCTCTGTGTAGTGACAGAAAGTGTGGGTTCCCACCAAAGATTTCGCCACACTCCACACCCATACACAGTCTCTCTGCTGCATGTATTCTCTGGTGCCTAATTAGGTTCGAGTTGTTAGAGAAATTTTTGCCACACAAGGGACATAAGTGGAGCTTCTTTGGCTGCAATTCCTTTGGTCGCCCCAGTTCTCTGCAACTTGTGGCCCCCACTAAGGACGGCTCCATCCCTTCCTCTGGGGGAGGCTCCCAGTGCCCTTCTGCCCTGTCCCGAGGCCTTCCCTGCTCAGGACTCCAGGGCACCTCCCCTCTGGCCTGGCCAGGCAACAGTGCCTGTGGGTGGACGCT